CTCCTTCAGGCCCTGCAAGGCCACCCTGAGCTCAGCCCAAAGCTTCTCCTGGCCAGGCTGAACAATGGCAGCTGTGCCAGCCTTTGCTGCCAGCAGAGCTGCTCCATCCCTCTGCTCATCCTGGAGCCTCCTCTGGGCTCTCTCCAGCAGCTCCAGCTGCTTCCTGGGCTGGGCCCCAGAGCTGGACCCAGCTCTGCAGGTGGAGTAAATAAAATTATTAAAAAAACCCCACCCTAAAATTCAAAAACCACAAGATCAAGGAAGCAAAAAAATAACACAGCAAAGAAACCCCACCAAAAAAATAAAACAACCCAACAAACAAAAAAACCCAAACCAAAACCCAAAAAAGCAAACCAAAAATCCCCGAACAAAACAGAGAAAAAAACCTCTCAACTCAGAAAGAAGGAGGAATAAAACAACTGCTTCAAGGAGATAAATATCCCCATGTGGGACAGGCGATCACTGTCAGCCCAGATATGGTGACAGGTGAATTCCCTTCCCACCTCCAGGCTGTGGGCACCAGTATTCCACTGAAAAGCCCCTTTCCCCTTTAATTTTGATTTTCTGAAGGAATTCCCATTCCTAAACGAAGCCTAAAATTGTCAGTCTCACCATTTGCCCAAATTTGGGGAGGATTTTCCAAGTGGATGAAGGCAGCAGGCTCATGACAATGAGAGGGCTCAGTGCCAAAAATTCTGGTCTTTGCTCTGATGTTTCAACTGTTTCACTGATTTTGCTGAAATCTTCCAAAATAATTCAGTGGGAGGTGGATACCCTGTAAATTTATCATTTGGATGAACCAAAAGAAATCCTGTTACTGGAATGGGAATTTTCATAGAGACAAGGGGAATGGTTTTAAATTGACAGAGGGCAGGGCTGGATCTTGGCAGGGGCTGGGATGGAATTGCCAGAGCAGCTGGGGCTGCCCCTGGATCCCTGGCAGTGCCCAAGGCCAGGCTGGACATTGGGAGCTCCTGGGACAGTGGGAGGTGGCCCTGCCATGGCTGGGATGGGATTTAAGGTCCCTCCCAACCCAAACCATCCTGAGATTATTTCAAGAGAACCACACTGAGGGTGCTGAGCTGTCACCGCACAGCCCGGATTTGGACACAGATTCCCCGTGTGCTCCCTGGGTTTGTTTGTGGGATCTGTGTTGCCAGGCAGAGGGGCAGCAGCTCCTGCCTGCACCAACAGGAGCTTTTTCTGGACATGAGGCTCCAGTTCCTAGAAATGAGTAACTGAAGTACCTTGGAAAAAGTTTCCCAAGAAAAACAGCTGATTGTGAAAGTGATGGCAAAAAAAATCTACATGCTCAGGAGCAGCTGTGCTGTCCAGGCTTTTATTTTCTTCTTTTGATTTCTCCTTGGGTGGGCTAAGAAGTAAAACAAAAAAATCCCTCTTTATCTGCTCCACATTAATTAATGGCAGTAATTAGCTACCTCAGTCCTGCCCGTAATAATCCAGTGATCCCAGTTAAACGCTCCTTTCTTTTTACAATCACCACGTTCCCTCTCTTCCCTGAAACATGGGATAACTCTGATATCTCAGTTTTTTCTCCAAAACAGGAGCATAAGGGGGGGATTTGCCAAGTTTTCCATAAACACCGCAAGAGGAAGGGACATGGATGGGTTCCAGTACTGAAGGGGTGAGGAGGAAGAGGACAGAACCATCTCCCACATACTGCCATCAGTGACAGGGCTGTGTTTATTTTAATGACGTAAATCTGAGGAAAATCTACTTTCACTCAATAATATGTGAAAAATGAGGTGAAAATAATAGCTTAGGAAAGCGATAAAATTCATAACTCGACTGCTGTTTTAGAGATTTCCTCTTCAGGACTTCCAGTTCCCCCGATGGAGAACTCCTGTTTCCGCTGGAATCTCGGGAATTCCGTCGGAGGCCACACCTGGAACAGATGGAAACATTTCCCCTCAGCACTCGCACATTTCCACAGCGAGCGTTTCCGTGCTCCATTAAGGCGAAATTCCTCACTGCGTACTGCATTGCCTTCCTAAATTTATCGGACAATAAATTGTTTTATTTGTTGCGGGAAACTCTGGGGGCCGAGCCCGGGCCGTGTTTGGAAATTCAAAGCGCTGAGTCCCGCCTGGAATTAGAACAGGGACAACTTCGCTCCGCCTTTACATCGGTGCTTGAGGCTGTACAATGTAGTCAGAGGGATAAATTTCAGGACTGCGAGGCCTTTCCTGGGCTCCCATTGTCAGCGCCCTGCTCCGTACGCGGCCCCACAGTCGCAACAAGCGACATTCGCGGGTCGCGTACGGCGGCTGCGGCCCCGCCTACAACTCCCATCAGCCCACGCGGCGCCCCAACACGCAGCGGGCGCTGCCGGCGCGCAAAGCACGCCGGGCTCTGTAGTTACCCGCGGGTGACGGCGTTGCGTCACTCACCCCGCCCGCGCGTTGCTGTGGCAACCGGGGCAGTGGGCGGGGCCGCGCGGGAAGCGGAGTCAGCGGCTGGGAAGTGACGGCGGCGAGGACCCGGATGTAGAGGGGGCGGGGTCCCCGCGCGCCCCACCCTGGGGTCACGTGATGCGAATGTCACGTGACGGAGCGATGGGGACTACGCTGGACGTGCGGGTGAAGCGCGCCGGGAAGGTTTATCGCGATGGGGTGCGTATGTCGCGATAGCGCATGTCGGGATCGCGTGGGACAGCGGGGTACCGGGCGGGGCGAACGGTCGGGGAGGCCAGTGCTGTCCTGGGGGACATCAGGATGAGCATTCCCAGCAGGTCAGGGGTGATGCTGCCCCTGTGCCCAGCCTTGGAGGCACCTCTGGGCTGCTGTGTCCAGCCCTGGCTCCTCAGCACAGCAGGGACAGGAGCTCCTGGAGCTGAGGAAGGGCCTGGAGCATCTCCGTGCCCAGGAAAGGCTGAGGGAGCAGGGGCTGCTCAGCCTGGAGAGGAGCCCCAGCTGAGAGGGGCCTCAGCCCTGGGTGTCCCTGGGTGTCCCTGTCCATCCCTGGATGTCCCTGGGTTCAGGAGGGTCAGAGCAGGCCCAGGCTCTGCTCCAGGCTCAGCAATGGCACCAGAGCCACGGGCAGGGGCTGAGTCCAGCAATTTCCCCTGCACAGGAGCAGAGCTGCCCATGGAGAAAAGGAGGCAGAGCCCCGGCGCAGCTGCTCCGGGAGGGAGTGGCGTCTCCTGCTCTGGAGCCATTCCAAACCCACCTGTGTCACCTGCTCCAGGTGACCCTGCCTTGGCAGAGGGTTGCACTGGGTCATCTCCAAGGATCCTTTCCGAGCCCAGATATTTTGGGATCCCGGAGCTTGCTGGGCACACTCGGGGTCTCTCGGGGACACTCGGGGTCTCTCGGGGGCACTCGGGGTCTGTCGGGCTCACTCGGGCACACTCGGGGTCTCTCGGGGTCTCTCGGGGACACTCGGGGTCTGTCGCGACCCCGCCCAGCCGCGGTTCCTCTGTGGGCTCCGGGGCCGTGTCCTGGCCCGGCCTTCCCGCTGGGAATGGCCTTGGAGCGGGGATTCCTCGGGAGTCGTTCGCCCTCTCCTGTCGGTGCTGTGGCGGTGTCCCCGAGCTTTCCCTGTGTCCCTGCTCTTGTGTCCCTTTCCCTCTGCCCTTTCCCGATCCCGGCAGGGCTTCTCGGTGTCCTCCCGTAGGCGAGGGATGCTCAGCTCCGGGATTTTGGGCGTTTCCTTTGGGATGAAGTGGTGCTTTCTGTCCTTCCCCTTTTCCTGGGTACCGGGGGAAGATCCTGACCCAGCTCTGCAGAAGCTTGGAAGGGAAGGAATATTTTTAATTTTTATCACTGTTTGCCTAGAAATCCTGAGTTACTCAGCAGCACTGTGCAGGTCTCTCATTTTTCTTGCACTTGTATCATAAAAATCCTTTCCATCCACCGAAATTCCATTTACTGAATGATTTTAATCCTGGAAAAATGGATTTGAAAGGCAAGGCGTGCAGCATCTGTCCTACAATTGTCAGATTATCTAGAGAATGGCTTTGACAAAGCTGAATTATTCCCTTTAGGAATAGCTCCAGAGTGGTAAATACTCCATGTCTCACTTTCACATCATTTTGTGCATTATAAAATATTAGGATTTTGTTTATCTATTTCAGTTTCTCAGTGCTGTGTCAATTTTCAATTTGACTGAACTTGACTTGCCTTATATCACTTTTAAATAGGTTGGGGTTTTTTTTTTTTTAATGGAAATGAATATTCCCTCTCTTTTAAGCTGAAATTAGGATATTTCTGGTCAGACAAACTGTCAGTTTTGGTTTTACCTTCCACTTGAACTCGAGGTGGAAAGCTTAGTAATTTTAGTTCATTAACTAGGCCTGGTATCTGGAAGTCTGGGATGAAAACACAATGATGGAAGAGCTGTACACCAGGGGTACAAGACAAATTTTAGTAGGAATCTTGAAGGGACCCTAAATCCCATCCATTCCCAGCCCTGCCATGGCAGGGCCACCTCCCACTGTCCCAGGAGCTCCCAATGTCCAGCCTGGCCTTGGGCACTGCCAGGGATCCAGGGGCAGCCCCAGCTGCTCTGGCAATTCCATCCCAGCCCCTGCCCACCCTGCCAGGGAACAATTCCTGCCCAAGATCCCAAGATCAAATCCTACTCTGAAGCCATTCCCTGGCTCCTGGCCCTGCAGCCCTTGGCAATTGTCTCTCTGCAGCTTTCCTGGGGCTCCTTCAGGCCCCGCAAGGCCACCCTGAGCTCAGCCCAAAGCTTCTCCTGGCCAGGCTGAACAATGGCAGCTGGGCCAGCCTTTGCTGCCAGCAGAGCTGCTCCATCCCTCTGCTCATCCTGGAGCCTCCTCTGGGCTCTCTCCAGCAGCTCCAGCTGCTCCCTGGGCTGAGAATTCCAGAGCTGGACCCAGCTCTGCAGGTGGGGTCTCACCTGAGCCGAGGGGCAGGATTTTGAGGTGTTTCTTTTTCGTTTCTGCAGAATAATTGGAAGATAAATTGATATTTAACTTCCTTTTCCTGCTCCCAGGCCGTGCACCCTTCCCATGTGTAGGCAGCAGCTCTGGAATGGGTTGTTGCTGTGTGAGAGGAAACTTCTCCTTTGTTAAAGCAGTTCACATGTTCAGGATTGTCCTTGCTTCTCAGAGTTGAGCTGGACTCATTTTTTAAAGCAATAACCTAATTGCTCGTGCTAATTAAGGCCCTTCAGCAGAGCAGAGCAGAATTTAGGTCAGCTTTTCTTTGCTGTCCCTTTGTGCTCCTGTTCCGGCATTTCCCACTTGCTGCACATCCTCTTCCCAGGCTCTCAGGATGTCAGCCTCGGTTGGATGGGGATGTTTTCCTGCTTCCTCAACCCCCCTGACCCATTTTTGCCATCCTGTACCACCAGGAAAGACAAAAATCTGCCAAAATTTCCGGTCTAGATCCTGGTGTGAAGTGGTGGAGCGCAGAAGGAGCGGTCACGGTTGTCCTGTGCTTGCAGGGAGCTGTGCCTTGGGGCCTGTGAGCCTGGGACAGGAGGTTTATCCCCTGGGAACTCTCCAGTTCTCAATCACCTGCTGTCCTTTCCAGCTGGGAATATTTCAGGGTTGAAGCAGATTCTGCAGTGTGGGAGAAGGGAAGGATGAACCATGGAGTGTGTGAAGGGAGTTGTGTGTCGCTGTCGTGCGGTTCATCGGTTTTTCAGTGTTAAAAAATCTGAGTTAACGCTTTGGGGATGGAGCATTTCTGTGCAAAGGATATTTTGTGGACAGCACATCCTTTATGGGACCAGTGACAACATCCCTGGAGTCACACAGCTCCTGCCTTTCATTCAGATTCACTTTTAAACTGTTTATTTCTGTTCATTTTTCAATTCTAAATCTCTTCTGCTCCACTCCCCAGGTGAATCTCACCTTCAACTTGGCCATCCTTTTCCTTCTCTTCCCTCTCCCGTGGCTGCCCATCCCAATTTTCATACAGCAATTCCTCCTGGCAGTTAATTCCAGCACATCAAGCAGAACTTGGCTGTTACCAGCTGACCCAGTGAGAGGGTTCTTCATCTTCCTGGGCAGGAAAATCTTGAAACTTTGGGAAGAATTTGAAGCTCGGGTTAATACTTCAGCCAAGAGCAGGATGATATTTTTAAGGAAATCCAGAAGTGCAAAGCTTTCATCCTAAATTCCTTCATCAGTGTTTGTCCTGACAAGGTTACACCATTCTTTGGGTACAGGATTTTTTTTCCACACTGTTTAGATAACAGCTATGAAAAAATGGATTTAAACAAATGTTTTCCTCTTTCCTATTAGGAAGTTCTTTCTGGAGTGGTGGTCATAACCAGTAAGGACACGGTGCAGCACCAAGGCATCTCCTTAACCATGGAGGGCTCGGTAAATCTGCAGCTCAGTGCCAAAAACGTGGGTGTGTTTGAGGCCTTCTGCAACACTGCCAAGGTAAGACCTGCACAGGTGACCATTTTTAGCACAAAAACCTCTCTTTTCTCAGATGAAACCTTTCCTTAAAGGCTCTCAGGTGGTCAGAGCTGCTCATGGTGAGGAAATGATGGAAAGCAGGGAAAGGCTCAGTTTTATCTGGAGATCACAGAATCCCAGGATGGGTCAAGGAGGAAGGGACCACAGTGTGTCACTGGTGCCACCTCCCTGCTCCAGCAGGGCCATCCCAGAGCACAGGACACAGGTTTGTGTCCAGAGGGCTCTGCAGTATCCCCAGGGAGGGATGCATGAGGACATTCTGGGGAAGTAACTCACACTGATGGGAGAATTTTCTTTCAGGCTGAAATGCACTGCCATAAATAGATAAAAAGGTTACTGGATGATGCATTGAAGGGCTGGGATTTAAAGAAAAATAATTAATTGTGTGATGTTATTTTATTTTTGTTGGAGTGACTGAGTTCAACTGGACTTTTGTGCCAGATCAGTCACTGGCTGTGGAGGCCATGGAGGTTCCTGGGCATGAGACAAGAATTGCCAGATTCCTCTGGAGAGATTGGGACCTGTGGAGTTCCTGGAAGGGTTCTGTGCTGCTCCCCAGGTTTGGGTCCCAGCAGAGCAACTTCTCCCAGGCTCCCCAGGGACAGGGCTGTGCTGGTGGGAGCAGGGCTGGTTCTGTCTGGAGACAGCTCCGTTTGGAAAATGGTTTGGTTAAGTTAGGATGGCCTTGAATCAGGGAATCATGGAAAGTTTGGGGTTGGAAGGGACCCCAAAGCCCACCCAGTGCCAGCCCTGCCATGGCAGGGACACCTCCCACTGTCCCAGGTGCTCCCAATGTCCAGCCTGGCCTTGGGCACTGCCAGGGATCCAAGGGCAGCCCCAGCTGCTCTGGCAATTCCATCCCAGCCCCTGCCCACCCTGCCAGGGAACAATTCCTGCCCAGGATCCCATCAAATCCTACTCTGAAGCCATTCCCTGGCTCCTGGCCCTGCAGCCCTTGGCCCCAGTCCCTCTCCAGCTCTCCTGGAGCCCCTTCAGGCCCTGCAAGGGGCTCTGAGCTCTCCCTGGAGCTTCTCCTCTCCAGGTTAGACAGCTCCAGCTCTCCCAGGCTGGCATCAATGGCCTCCTCTGGACTCACCCAACAGCTTCACTTCTTTCTTGTATTGGGAGCCCAGGAGTTGGGGACAATAATGGTAAAACTGCAGAGAGAAAAGAAATGTCATCTCCAAGCCACCTCCCCAGTCAAACCACTGTTAGCCCTCGTTCCAGTGAGAGACCTCCCCGAAATAATAATAAACTGCAGAGGTCAGGGGGGATGGCTGAGTGCTCAGCTGCACAACCTTGGTCCTTCCTGCTGCTGTTAAGGGTCACAGTTTAGGAAATGAAGCTCCACTTCTCAAAGCTGGAGCTGCTCCTGGTGAGCTCCCTGAATATCTTTGGTCATTAATAGAAACCATAAAATAGAAATTGTTTCCTTGAGCAAAATGTTAATGTTTCTTTTCATTGTAAAATAAATATCCCAGCACTGTGTGTCCTCAAGAGGTTCCTGGGATTCTGGAAATCCAGGAATTCTGGTAGAGTTTAGATCTTGTTGGTTCTGTCTCAACCTAAACCTGTTTAATATTGATCCTTGCAGCCTATTCAGATTATCAACAGCACCATTGAAATGGTGAAACCAGGGAAGCTCCCCAGTGGCAAGACAGAAATTCCCTTTGAATTCCCGCTGCAAATGAAGGGCAACAAAGTTCTGTACGAGACATATCACGGAGTCTTTGTCAATATCCAGGTGAGGAGGTCCTGTCTGGAGAGAAAATCAGAAGTTTCATCTGCACATTGTCTTCTAAAGCAGCTCTTAATCCATGGAAATTGAGGATGAAGTTTGGTGGTGTTTTCTTTTCACACTGACCGAGCCTTCCACCCTTTACTCAGTAAATCTTTAAGGAATGATGGCACAAACAAGATGTTTTACCTGAAATACCTCAGCAGAACGACTGTAGCCTGAATTTGATCCACCCTGGTGTTGTAGGTGACTGTTTCCATTCCCTTCCTGAAGAAAACAGCACCACAGTGTGGCTGTATTCCAGATAATCTGTAATTCATAAGGAAAACTCCCAAGTGTTGAGAGCAACACAAATCAGGAATTATTTGCTTTGCTGGGGTGAGGAGGAGTAACATTCCCTGCCCAGATGTGTATGGAATACCTGCTTGGACACAGTCTGTGGAAATACAGTTTGGAAATTTGATCTTTTTTGGTTAAAAATTGCCTTATCATAGGTGGGTTGGTTTGTTTGGGTGATTTTTGATGGGTTTTTTTGGGGGGAAAGTCTTTCTTCAGCCATCTCATGAAGGTAAATTCTGTGTTAGGCAATGCTTATGTCACTGGAATGAAAAAAAAACAACTTAAAAAACCAAATCACCCTCCAGCAGCCTATGAGAAGTAACTAAAGAAAAAAATTCTGTGTTTTTTTGTCTGTGTTTGGATGTTTTTTAAAACCTTTCCATTTATTTGTTCAGTTTTGGCTTCTTCCCTCATGTAACAGCTGTTGTTTGTGGTAGGGATGTCAGAAATGGTGCAGCACTGGTCGAGTTGTTTGCCATATCCCAAATAACTTGCTGTGATCAATCAGTTTGAGGTGCACTTTAATGAGGAATATTTGTTTTATTTTGTCATTCCTTATCTCATCTGTGTAGCTTTCCTTGGATAAAATACCATTAAGATTTAATAATTTAAATTTCAGCCAAACTTTGAGAGTCCTGTTGTCCTGAAGAGGGAATTGTAACACTGAGGTGCTGGTTAAGAGACTCTTCCTGAACCTCTGGGCAGTTTAATTGAGCCTCTCTTTCTTGATTTAGGGATTAATTGTGGGTTCAGATCTCTATTCTGATACAGAAATCTTTAATGAGACACTGTTGGGGGGTTGTGGCTGTGAACCAGAAGTGAGGAACCCAAATCCCTGGTCTGAGGAGGAATTAAAAATCAAACAAAACAAAAAAAACCCCATCCCACCAAAATTCCCTGTCCTGCAAGGACACTGAGAGGCTTTGCTGGAGATGCTGAAATGTAGAATTTCTGGGATAACCAAATTCTCACTATTTTTCATCCACTGGTTTATGGCTCCCATTTTAGGGGGAGCAGATTGGAAGGAAATTCACCTCACTGCTGATTTTAGTGCTGCTTTGAGCTCAGCTGTGTGGCTGAAATTCCCCATGAAATACCCCAACAACTGTGCATTCAATCCAAGAAAATCAAAATCATAGGGGCTGTGAATACATCACACTGACAATCCCTTAACCAAAACAGGGTGAAGGGAGGTGAAAAGTTGGGAAAGAGGGAAGAAATCTGAATTAAAGCTCTTCTTTTTGCCCTGTGTCACCCCATTCCCCCCAGTACACCCTGCGCTGTGACATGAGGCGCTCGCTGCTGGCAAAGGACCTGACCAAGACTTGTGAATTCATTGTCCACTCCCAGGTGAGTGTCATTTCTGTTCATTTTGCAATTAATCAATTTTTTTTGATCGATTTCCCCCACCCCCCCACTTCACTTTAAGGGAAAAAAAACCAAAACCTAAATCCATGTAAATTGTGGTAGTGACATGAGAGATTACAGAAATGTACAATCAGAATATCCTGAGTTGGAAGAGACCTGAAAAATTATCAAACTTAACTCCTGGCCCTTCACAGGACACCCCAAAATCTCATCCTGTGCCTGAGATCTTTATCCAAAATGTAGGAGTAAAGGAAATCTGCCCCAAAACAAAACCACCCCAAAGAGCTGTTGCTTCTGATTAGAAAAACCCATCCCTCTCTTAATTTCCAAGGACAAAGGGGAGTTGGATTTTCAGCTGTTTTTACAGTGCCCTGAGTTTATTCTCTTATTCATCCTTTGAGTTCTGAGACAATGGGGTGGTCACATAAATACGATGTCATTTTTCCAAACCCTGTTTTGAATTATCCCAGGAGCTCTCAGCCAAAGCTTCCAGGCCCCCCCCAGTCCTGGAAATGGGGGTTGGGTGATGAAAATACCTGATTTCTGTTCTTCAGATGAGCAATTCTGATTTAGAGCCCTTACAAGTATCACAGCTGGGTCTGCAGCAAGTGGAAATCATGGAATCTCCAGGGTGGGAGAGACCTCCATGATAATCCAGTCCCATCCTCACCCCAAACCATGTCCCACATCCAGACTCCTGAACACTTCCAGAGACTCCACCACCTCCCTGAGCAGCTCATTCCAGTGCCAGGCCACTCCTGCAAGGGAAACAAGGGAAATCTTGTTTCTAATTTCTAATTTTAGAATTTCTAATTCTTATTTCTCGTCCTAATAATTATGGGAGGAGGTTGGACTCCCAGAAAATGTTTTGCTGGTTGTTCCAGAAGATCCAGTGTGGGATTTGGGGTTGGTTGAGATCGAGCTCTGCCTGTCCAGAGCAGCTGAGGACAGGACAGAGCTGATGAAATGTCCTTTATTCCATCTAAAACTTGCTGGAACATCCTGCTTCTATCATTCCTTTGAACTCTTAACAGGACAGTAAATATCAAAATCCTTTATGTCACTCAGGACTTGTGGTGGAAATGTTATTTTAGTTCTAAAGTACCTCTTTAAAAGATTTAGTTTGGTGTTCCAAACAAGTTTCCTGTTGGTAAGATTTCAGTATTTCCTGCAATATCTGATGCTACATTTTATTGGTTCGTTATTACACTGAGAAGTGAGCCACACTTGTCAGAGGAGTGACAAATCACATCTCCTGCAGTTTTCCTGAGTTTATTTCTTGTTCCCACTACAGCACTTCTGAGCTCACCAGTCAGTAAATCATGGATCTCTCAGTCAGGGTGAATTAATGAGGTTTTACTGAACATATAATTCTCACTGTCAGTGCTCAATGTACCATTTCCCTTCAGCTTATTCTGTGCCAGAATTTGTCATTTTGGGAAAATGCAGCCAATCTTTTGCTAATCTCTTCCATCTTGCAGCTGGGCAGCAGCAGCTATTTGGAATTCTTGAGCAGTGAGGGCAGATCCTCACTCAGAGTTCCAGATCAGCCCCTTGCCGGTGCAGAACAGGAATTTATAAAGCAGATTTGAAGCAAAGGACACAAATTCTTTTAGAATGTCCCCTCCTCAAATTTAATAATGAAATATTCCAAGGGATGTGTAAAACGAATTTATTTGTATGTAAATAAATAGGAAACTGAACTTTTTTCCCTCTCTGCTTCAGATGGGGAGGGTATTCCTGCTCTTCCAGGCAGCTGTTGTGGATTTTAATTTTCTATGTTTTGAGGATCAGATTTCAGTTTAACCCTTCCATTCCCTGCAGTCACAGAAAGGGAAGCTGCTGCCGAGCCCTGTGGACTTCACCATTACTCCTGAAACTCTGCAAAATGTTAAAGAGGTAAAAGGATTCTCTTACTGCTTTATTTTAAATGTAAAGTTTATGTGTTTCTGAGTGAGACCAGAGGAGTGATTTAATTCTGCCTTGCAGATTATCAGGCAGATTATCTTGGTTTTATTTTTTCATTTTGTTTCTCACTTTTCTAAGCAATCAAGTGATTCTGTCTCATCTCTTGCACTGTGGTGACCAGCTGAAGGTGGAACTCTGCTCAGGAGTGGTTAAATATTTTTATCCCTTTCCTGAGTGAAAGATGGGAGTGGATCAAAGGAAAACTTTCTATACCATGGACAGCCAAGAGCCCTTAGAAATGTGCATTTTGAGCCTTGGTTATGTCTGTTTTTACAGCCCCCTGTGGCTTTGGGAAGCCTCAAGGAGGGCAAGTTTAGATGGGAAATTGGGAAGGAATTGTTCTTGTGAGGATGGGGAGGGGATGGAATTCCCAGAGCAGCTGTAGCTGCCCCTGGATCCCTGAAGTGCCCAAGGCTGGGCACTGGGGCTTGGAGCAGCTGGGGCAGTGGAAGGGGTCCCCACTCCTTCCCAACACTGTTCCAGCTCCTGGATCAATTCTAACAGCCAAGTTCTGTCAGATCTTCCCAGGAAAAATCCATCCATGGGAGCAGGAAGGACTCATGTCAAGGGAGATTGCAGGAGAAATCCTGGTACAGAATGAAAGAAATAAATCTGAGCTACATGAGGAATTTCTGAACACTTGAGTTCTCAACTTAGGAGCTTTTGGGGAATTTCCTTCTTGTTTTAATAACTTTCATAAGGTTTTTTTATTCTTAGTCTGCTCTTTACTACAACTGAAACAACCAACAAAAGAAAAAGAGGAAAATAAGAGAGACAACAGAAAGCTGGACATCTTGGAGAGGGGAGAAAAGAGAGAGTTTTAATTGGGCAATTCAAAAATTAGCTTTTTAAATTGCATTGTTGGTTAATCTGCAAATTGTTGTAGTCACGAGTAAGTTTTAAATTTAAATTGCATTGTTGGTTAATCTGCAAATTGTTGTAGTCACGAGTAAGTTTTAAAAAGAAGTCCCTATTGAATGAAGTGCCTTCAAAAATAGATCAAAAAGTTTATAAATATTGTATGGTGGTATATATTTGGATGTTGTATTTCTAATGATATCTGCTGGTTTTGTTTTTACAAATAACATGAAAAATTATGATGGTCATGCATCCCAAGAAATTAAACATGAATGTTTTGAAAAATGTTATCTTCTCTATACATCCACTGATAATGTAACATTGTATGATATGGAGTGGTCATCAGGTATTATTACTGTAGTTACAGTCAATTTCTGCAAAATGCATTTCTTTAAAATTGAATTGAAAGATCATACAATTAACCCTACAGAAAAAAGGATTGAACGACAGGTTTCTTTCATTTTTTTTAACCTTTTCTTTTGTTTAAGTGTATTGTGTGAAGTGGCATCTTTTCCTCCTCCCTCCAACCTTTTTCAGAGAGCCTCCCTCCCCAAATTCCTGATCAGAGGGCACCTGAACTCCACCAACTGTGTGATCACGCAGCCGCTGACGGGGGAGCTGCTGGTGGAGAGCGCCGAGGCGGCCGTCAAGAGCATCGAGCTGCAGCTCGTGCGTGTGGAGACCTGTGGTGAGCCCTGGGCAGGAACAGCCTGCAGGAATTCCCTCCATCCCTTCCCAGGGAAGCAGGGAACAGCCTTAAAGAAAGGCCAGAGCATCGAGGCAGGGTTTGCGCTTTGCAGGAAGGGCCCTGATGTTAATTTAAATTATCTCTGCCATCCTTTACTCTGGGAAAACTTGCCAGGGCGTTTTTCCTCTTGATCCTGGGGTGTCTCTGTTGGAAGTTTTGTCTGCTGCTTTCTCTCATCTCCCCCCATTTCCTTCCTCTCCCTCCTTGCTCAGGGTGTGCTGAGGGCTACGCCAGGGACGCCACGGAGATCCAGAACATCCAGATCGCGGACGGTGACGTCTGCAGGGGCCTCCCCATCCCCATCCACATGGTGTTCCCCAGGCTCTTCACCTGCCCCACCCTGGAAACAACCAACTTCAAAGTGGGTGAGTGGGGAGGCTTTTCCTGGGAGTCACTCCCTTTACATGTGAGGGGATAAATCCACTGGTGCTGCAGGGAAAGCCCAGGACATTGCTCTGCTTCCCTGAGCCCGAATCCTGCTGCATTCCAGCCTGAGAAAACACAGCCCAAACACCTCCAACACTTCCAAACAGCTGTGCAGCCACTAAGCTGCTCCCAGTAAAATTCCATGATGAGGGGACAGGAGGAGCAGTGGTCACGTGGTTAAACACTTGAGGAATAATCCAAGAATAAAATTCCTTCTTTTCCTCACCAGTGAGAATCCCTCTTTCTACTTCTCCTTTTTGTTTCCCACCCTCCTGCCAAAAGCCCTGGAAGCTGCAAGGTTGGACAGGGTTTGACTTCTCTTCTCCACACCACGTGCTCCTCTCTGGTGATGGTTGTCAAAATCCAGTATTTTTATTAACAAAATCAGGATTTTCCTCACTTGTTCAAATAAGTACTGCAAGAATCCACTTAGCTGCTTTGTATTTCTTCCTTTCATCCTGCTGGAATCTGCTGAAAATCACAGAATCTCTGTGATTTTCCCCAAAATAATATTTTTTTTTTTTTTTTCCCATTTTAAGCTCTTCACTAGCAATTTGCAATGAGAATTTGAATTTATTTTGATTTCTGCTTCCCTTCATTTATTAACTCTGTCTGGCTTTTTGTTCTGTCTCTGTTTAGGATTGATTATTGATCTGATACTGATCTTGGCTTTGAAGGACAAAGAGTAGATTTTTCCCTTTGGAATTTTTGTTCTCCACTTTGCAGACCTGTGAATATTCCAGTATTTCATTTCCTGAGGCTGTTACATGCTGGAAACAGGGAATGGAGCTGTCCTGGAATTCTCCCATTCCATGCTTCAAACACCATCTCAGTCTCTTTCCCAAAACATTTTGTTCTTTGATGTCTGAATCCTCTTTTCCAGAGGATTGTTTGCCATAATTTATCAGTGATAAAACAATCCAGAGGAATCCCAAAGATTACAACAAAACAGGATTTTCTAGGAATGGTCCAGGGGCTGGGATGCCTGGGTGAGGTTCTGCCTGGAATATTTCAGAAGCTCCTACCTCATCCTGCTGCCAGGATTTGGCTTTCCTGTGGAACTGAAGTAGGATTTCTCCCAGGATTTGGCTTTCCTGTGGAATTGGAGTAGGATTTCTCCCAGGATTTGGCTTTCCTGTGGAACTGAAGTAGGATTTCTCCCAGAATTTGGCTTTCCTGTGGAACTGAAGTAGGATTTCTCCCAGGATTTGGCTTTCCTGTGGAACTGAAGTAGGATTTCTCCCAGGATTCAGCTTTCCTGTAGAACTGAAGTAGGATTGCTTCTAGGATTCAGCTTCCCATGGAATTCTCTCTCTTTTTCCCCTTTTCCCAGAGTTTGAAGTGAACATCGTGGTCCTTCTGCAGGATGACCATCTCATCACAGAGAACTTTCCCCTGAAGCTCTGCAGGATGTGAACACCCACAGGAGGAACAGGGAAGGATTTAACTGGGAATTCCTGAGGGGAAGTGGAACTTTATCCATGCCTGACTTCAGCAGGAGCCACCTCACTTCCTTCTCCCTTTTTGTGCTTTCCCTTTCCTGTTAACCTGGCCAAGACTTTGCCTCTCTGGATTTCCCAATCCTGCTGCCTTCAACAACATTTTCTCCAATTTTTCTCAGGCAAATCCTGAAGGAATCATTCTGTAGCTTTCTTACAGCTCGTGGGAGGATGTAGCAAGTTCCTCTCTTGATGAAATTTTGTAATACTTGCTCCAAAGTCCTTTGAAGACCCCTGAAAACTCATAAATCCCATTAGAGCCATACTGGGAGGGGATGGGAACTGTGACAGAATGAGAAAAAGGGTTTTGAAGGTCTAAAAAATGCTGCTACAACTCTGGAAGGTGTTGCTGTGGGATCAGTCCCAAGGCAGATGGGAAATGAGTGATTTCAAGCCACACCAAGGGAATTTTGGTCAAACTAAGAACAGGAGTTGGTGTTGGAGGAATAAATGAATGTGTTTTGTACAACTTAAATGAAAAATAATTCACTAAGAAATAACCTTCCCAACACAAACAGGTTGTGGATTTTGATGTTTTAATGGAACAGCCACAACATGTGGATTTTCCATCAATTTTCCATGTGGGGTAGAGGCAGGCTCAGTCTGTATTATGGAAATTGGAAGTGTAAGGATGAGCACCTAAAAAGGCAGAATTAAGAAAACTGAGAAAAAGAATTTCCTTTGGTTTATCCAGCTGCACTGCCAAGCAGGAGAATGTAATTCCAATTTGGGCCCTGGCCTTTTAGGAAGAAAAAGCTGAAATTTTCATTTCAGTGTCTGGGAAGGGGGAGGAAAATGCTATTTACTGAAACTTAAAACTTTTTCCTGATACTGGGGGATTTGGGGAAGAGCTGCAGCCTCCCAAAAATCCTGGAAGCTGAAAAAGATTCCAGTGCTGGAATTTTTAGGCCTTAATTCTACAGCACATAGTATTTACTCACCTCTAACTCACAGTGAGCAGAAATACTCCACAAAAACAACCTGTTTGGCTGTAGCAGCAATTTTATTTTTTTATTCAACTGGTAATTAATAACACTGAATAATGAGAGAGGAGTTTAAAACTTGATCTGGAGGAGATGTAGCAGTGTGGGGAACAAGTGATCCTTGGAATTAGCCAAGAGCTCCTAATCCATGGGATGCTCCCTGGATTCAGACAATGGAGTTACACTCTGTGATTCCCAGGCTCTGGTTCTCACCTTTTGGCTTTTTTGGGACAAATTTGTCAATGTTGAAGGTGCTCTGGCCACTTCAGACTCAGAAAACAGTAGGAGAACAATTCCCTGAGCTGTTGGAATTCTGCCTCTCCTGCTAGTGGTGACCATTCCTGCACAAAATACAGAGGAAATGTCATTTATAAATCCTTCCCATTTAAACAGACCAGCTCCTCAACAAGGGGCAAAATTCAAATTTTAACCCTACTTTGAGATTAAAGAATAATTAGATCTATATGAATAATTTAAAATTCTTCCTTCAAAATGTGACTAAAAGTCATCATTTAAACAACTGGAATTCTCAGCTGTGGATTTATGCAAAGAGAGGAGCTGCAAAGACCACACACACAGGCTTGAATCCTGAACTGTTTATGCCAGAGGAAGGGAAGGTCTTGGTTTCCAATCCTCTTGGTCCATCATTTTTGTCAGTTTGATATTGGGATAAATCTGAGGGAAAAGCTCCCTCTTCACAGGAATTATGCACCAGCCTTTCAGATTAAATAATTGGATATTATTTAATCTGAATTTTTTGGCAGTGTCCCTTAGCCAAAAATCCACCAGTTTTGTGTGCTGCTAGCCCTGAGCTCCACACCTTTAGGCAGGAACCAGGAGAAATCCTGGATCTTGGAAATCCTGAGGCTTTTCCCAGTAAACCCAGGGTTCTGTCCTGTCCCCCAGCACTGAGGTTGTGCTGCAGCCCCTTTGCATTTTGAATTAAAAGGTGTAGGAGTAAAAGCAGGATCAGCTGTACTTGTTCCATGCAGGAAGCTCAGGGAAGTCCTCGGGAAGCAGAGCGTGGACACGGCAGATGGGGCAGGTGCTGGAATGCTGCTTGAGCCACCTTTGGATGCACTGCAGGGAGAGGGTGAGAGGCAAAATTTGGGAAGAGGAATCCAGCTGGAGGCTGGAAATTACTGGCACTAAAGGGGAAGCTCTTCAGTAAGTTGTACACCACTGAAATTTGGGGGTGGAGAACTGTTCTCCTGCTGTACTCAAATTTATTCTACGAGAATAAATCAGCATTAAAACAGAAAAGGTCAAGGGGAAAAGTCACAGACAGAAATGTGGAGTTATTCCAAAATAATCCTGGCTTTTTTGCTTCATGAATTTCCACAATCAGGAGGCAAATGCAGAGTTTAGAGGGATAACCCCTTCCCTGAGTGTGCTGCCAGCAATCCCAACCAAATTCATGCTCTGAAGAATCATCTGAAATCCACTTTGATGAATCAACTTTAAAAATACCTAAAGCTTTCTGACAGGCTGGCTGTGGGTCAGGCTTGGGGAAAAGGAAATTGTGGCCTGTTGTTCAAGCACTGAAGGGTAAGGGGAGGGCAGAGGGGTTGTTTTTAGGAGGTGGAGATGAGGAAGAAGAGCAGAGCTCACCTTTCTGTGGAAGTGATGGCCACACTCGAGCTCACAGCAGTCTCTGCTCAGCTCGTCGTGACAGATGGCGCAGGGATCCTCACCAGAGGCCTGGCCAGGAAAGGAATGCTCAGTTACTTAAAAACCAGCAGCAATTAACCAGCACATTCTACTCAGTTAACGAGGTCACTAACTTTAACCAAGTCTATTGAAGCTTTTGTACACAAAATAAACAAGGCAGTTCGTTGTTTTTTTTTCCCCGAGGATTATTTTGTGTCTTGTATAAAGCACGTGGCAACAACTCCACTGAAAGAGCAGAAAACTTACAGCATCGTCCTTCTTTTTCCATTTGGCTTTAGGTGCAGCTCCAGCATTTCTCCAGGGCTGCAGGTTTGGCTGAGAGGGGTTTTTACTGGAGGAGTTTTTAGGGGTGGGCACTGCCCAGGGGCCGATTCCTTCTGCAGGCACATCCTGGCTCCGCGCTGCCGGGCCCAGGGAGTGCATGGCTCTGCCTGCTGGAGCTGGTGCCTGGACAGGGATCAGAAAGGAATTGTGTTCCTTGGGGCTGTGCTGCTCCCTTGTCCACGGGCAGGAGCAGCAGCTGCAGCCCCAGTACCTTGAGCTGCTGGTCCAGGATGAGCGACGTGACCCGGTTGAGGATTTCATCCGGGCTCAGGCCGGCCATGGTGTTCCCATTCCTCCTCTGCACGTCCCTGATGAAGGCAATGAGGTCTGAGCTGGAGGGACAGGAAAGGCAGGATCAGGGATGGCCCCTGGACAGCACTGCAGGCTCTGTTTGATCCCAGCAGGATCAAAAGACACCAACTTTTCCCACAAACTGGAGCCTGCTCCCAACTTCCCTCAGTAACCAGGATGAAACCCCTGAAGAGTCACCAGAATCATGGAATGGCTTCCATGGTTGGGAGAGACCTGAATGCTCATCCCACCCCAGCCCTGCCATGGCAAGGACACCTCCCACTGTCCCAGCTGCTCCCAATGTCCAGCCTGGCCTTGGGCACTGCCAGGGATCCAGGGGCAGCCCCAGCTGCTCTGGCAATTCCATCCCAGCCCCTGCCCACCCTGCCAGGGAACAATTCCTGCCCAAGATCCAGCCCTGCCCTCTGGCAGTTTAAACCCATTCCCCCTTGTCAGCAGAACAAAATCATTTTTGCACTTGACCCCTGGCTGTTCAGACCTTGTTTCACAGCACTCCTTCAATCCAGTACCTGCTGTAGTTTGGGAATATACTCTGGAGCTGGGAAAGAATATTTTCAATTCCTTCTGGAGGCTTTTTGTTGTTTGGAATTCCAGAAGGCCTCGGTTGCAGAGCTGAGGGATCTTGGTTGGGCTGGACATGCTGGGTGTTACTCCCAGAAACCCCTGGTGGGCAGGATGGGGAGGGTTTATTGGAATGTGGAGCCTCTGGAGCTTTGGGATGTGTTTTCCCAGCTGCAGAAGAAGCCTCAGAGGTGGCAGGTGCTGGCTTAGCTCCGGGCTGGGCTGGGAGTGGAGGCTGGGCTGGAGCTTTTCCATCAGAACTGGAAAATCCAGGAAGGGCACTGGGATGTGCAGATGCCGAGGAGCAGGTGATGATGGCAGGGTCACACGTGAGAGGTCTGCCTGGTATTGTCTAGGAAACAAACACATTTCACAGGAAAAGTCATTAAAACAAATTCAGCTGAGCTCTGGAGCATTTGCAGGGTGAACTGGGACAGGTCTGGTTGTGCCCAGGATCTCAAAGGTGACACCAGTTTATCCTAAAAACTCCCTTACATCAGGGCAGGTGTTTGACCTCAGCATTATTTCTCTTCTAAAAGGTCACTCTGGTGTTACTGCAGAAAAAATAAATTCCAAATGTAGAATAAGAGGCACAAAAGTTGTTCTTTCCCAGTAAATTGGTGGTGATTAAGTTGTGTCCATATTCTGTGTCAATAAATAGAGAGGACAGAGCTAAAAACAAGTGGGGAATTACGCAGGAGGACAGGAGTGGAACTTGAAGAAGCCCAGAGAAAGTGTAGTAACAATCTCAAATATTAGACCAGAGCCCTGAATCTAAATTACACCCAGAACAAAAATAAAAAACATAAACCAAGATTTTCCACAAAGGAAAAAAAAAATTAAAGATCAAAATTTAAATTTTTTAAAAAAAATTTCAAGAATCAGAGGGGTCAGAAGAAACTGCTTTGATTTGAGCAAAACATTGGTGGAGCTGTTGGGCCATGAGAAAATGTCTGTGAACAGGATTTCTGGGGCTGTTCTCATTCCAGATAAATTCCCATAAATCCCTGGCTGCTTCCTGACATGCCTGAGGTTGGTGTTTGCCATCAGTGCCACACGTTGGTGAAGGAATTCCTTCAGGAAAGTTTCCCCATGGAAAGGGAGCTCAGGCCTTGGCAGGGGCTGCCCAGGGAGCTTTGCAGTGCCCATCCCTGCAGGTGCCCAAGGAAGGGCTGGACGTGGCACTCAGGGCTCTGGGCTGGGGACAAGGTGGCACTCAGGGCTCTGGGCTGGGGACAAGGTGGGCATCGGGCACAGCTGGGACTCCATGGGCTGGGAGGGCTTTTCCAGCACCAGGGATCCTGGGATTCTGCATATTGGGGATTATCCCAATGGATTTTGGGGCTGTTCAACCTGGAGAAGGCTCCAAAGAGCTCCTTTCAGTGCCTGAAGAAGCTGCAGGAGAGCTGGAGACAGACTTGGGACAGGGAATGGAGTGACAGGACACAGGGAATGGCCCTGAGCTGAAGGAGGGCAGGACTGGATGGATTTTGGGCAGGAATTGTTCCCTGGAATAGAATTCCCAGAGCAGCTGGGCCTGCCCCTGGGTCCGTGGAAGTTCCCAAGGCCGGGCTGGGAGCACCTGGGACAGTGGGAGGTGTCAGGGTTGGAACTGGATGATTTTTAAGGTCCCTTCCAACCTAAACCCATCCTGGAATTCCAGGATTTTGGTGCTACAGGAACCCTACAATGGACAAAAACACCAGTGAGTCATTTTCAGCTCCATCTCCATCCCCTTTTCCTCTGGAGCAGCCCCTGCCTGCAGGGAGAGCCAGCACTTGCTGTGTCCAAGGCTGCACATTCCCGTTCTCCCTGGACACCTCCCACCAGTCTGGGGAAATTCCAAGGCCTGGAAGTGCTGTGGAAAGTGGAATACTCACATCAAATCCCTGAGGACAAGGAAAATCCACAACTTCCACTTTACTCAGGCAGTCCCGGGCACCATTCTTCACCAGCTCGATTTTTTCTTCATACTCAGCCTGCAGAAGGAAAAGCAACCATTTACAAACCTTAAAAATCACATTTTACAGCTGGACTTCTCAGAGAGTTTCCTGTTGGGTTTTTTTTTTTTAAGAAGTTCCATGGATTTCTAAAGGTCACCAACAAAAAAAAAAATAAACTCTCTAAAGTGGGACCCAATTTTGAAGCAAGTGTGTAAAGTGAAGATTTTTGCCTTTAAAAAAGTGAATGTATCCATTATAAATTACCAACCTGGACTCCAAACTCTTTCTTTTGTAATTAAAAAAATTCCCCTCAGCATTTGGAGGACAAGCTACTGGTGTTTTAAAAAAAACAAATGCAACTTTATTATTTAATCTTTTCACTTCCAAAGTTGAACTGAGAAGCTTGTGGAGAGAAATGAAGTTTTACCTCGACTTTTTCCAGTTGTTTCTTGACATTTGAAAGAAATATTTCCCAGGAATCGATATGGGACTTCAACACAGGAGCTGCTGAAGCTGAGCTGCTGGAATATTGAGGATTTACAGTTAAAACTCCAACATTCCCATTATTTTGAAGACCAGTTGTGTTGTCCCAGCAGTTCCTCCCTCAACAATTAATCCCAGTTCAAGTTCAAAGGGATTTCAGGTAAAAAATCAGTTACACTGCAGCCCTTTTCCAGGGATACTGGGCAGGAATAACTGGAATTATTATTATTAAACAGATAATCTGCTTTTCCCAGCTCAAAGAGACACAAGGATAAGGATGAGTCTCAATTTCCAGCCCAATTTTGTTCAGGGCAATATTATTTACCCCCAACTTTGTGCACCTTCATTTTAATATTTTAATATTTTATAGAAACATTATATATTCAATGTAAATACAGGACATAAAAACTATATTTTATATAATTATAGAATATTTAAAAAATATTATATAGTAGATAATTAACAAGCAGGAGTAGTGGAATTCCTGGTGGGAATTCCCAGTACCTGCTCAGTGCCTTCAGCATCCTCAGATTTCCCTCTGCCTTGGCAATGCTGCCTTTGAGTTTCCAGATTTCAGTTTCCTTCCAGGTCTGGAGTACTGAGATCTGTGACAAAAAAAAAAAAGACAAAAACTAAAACCAAACCAAAAAAAACACACCAAAAAAAAACAAATCAAGCAAAAAAAAAAAACAACCCAAAAAAACCCAAACAACAAACCAAGCAACCAACCATCCCCCCATGTTGAAAAAAAAAAGGATAAAACCTTAAACCAGATTTAAATAAAAATTTAGAGTCTGAGGATACAAAGTGCACACACACAATTCCTACAGTGAGGAATTTTCAAGTGGAATTTCCATCTTTGGAACTTCCAATATTTAATCAACATCTCTGGTACCATTTCTCCACCTCCAATCAGCACAACCCCAGCTCTAACAAAAGGTTTTTAAGGATTATTTTATTTTTTTTTTGCTTGTACCTCTGCTTTAACAGCTCTTTTCTCACACTCCTGGCTGTCATTTTGACTCTTTTCTATCAGCTCTTCCAATTTGCCTTTCTCATTAGCAAATTTATTACTGTGGAAGAAAAAGAAATGAAATAATCTGAGTAACATTCACAGCAGAGCAGTTTGTAAAGTTTGTGCCATTTTAGAGGATTTTTAGAGAAACTCAGTGTCATGTAATAAAGAGAAATGTATGAGAGTATAACTTTCTTTATTCTAAATATTAATATTTACTCATGGCAAGTAAAAGCAAATGTAGAGTAAGAAATATGGGTTAAAGTGCTTATTTTCCTCTAAGCCTTTACCCAGAGTGATGCAGAAAAATGTAAATATTGCTGAAAGGGACCTGAGTTTTACCTGGTCTCCAGAAATGTATTTAAACACTCATTATACTGCTTTTCCTTGTCATCAATGGTCTTCAAATACCTACAGGAACAAAACAATTCATTAAGCTTGTTGTGGAAAAAGTTTATTGGCAAATATGGACCATGTTCCTCTATAACCACCAGGACAATCTGTGGACTTTAGATCCTGTTTAATCCCACAGGAATTATGGAATTCCCAGCCCTGGAAGTGTCCATGGCCAGGTTGGAGCAACCTGGTGATAGTAAAAGATTTTAAAATCATAGAAAATTCGGGTAGTTGGAAAGAAAGTCGGGCTTGGGAAGCCCTGGGAAATGTTAGGCCTTGTGAAACTGCACCTGTGTAGTCAGTACATGATAAATGATCTAACTGTTAAATGTAATTAGATATAATTATTGTTTAAAGAACATGAGGAACAATGTTAGGGGTTGGAGGGGGATCATGAGAATTCCATGCTTGGGTAAAATCAATGCATACAATAGAACAATGTAAGTTTAATAATTAATATCTAAGTTATATAACAATAAAAACACCTTCAGCTCAAAACCAAGGGGGGTCAGATTTGGGTCTGTGCACCCCTGACACCCAGAGCTCTTCAATAAAAGCACCTCCATATAATAATTTCATGATTAATATAATCATTTCATGATTCTGTGTTCCTGAGTGCTAACACTGGGACAGGGGGAGGTGTCCCTGCTCATGGCAGGGAGTGGAAATTAATGGTCTTTAAGATCCATCCCAGCCCAAACTATTCAGGGATTCTGTTCTAAATACATTCAAATTTATTGCTAATGAAGCAGTAATTAATATAAAAACAGGCTGATGATTTTTCAGGAGAGATTTGGCCCAAACTAGTTAAGACTAAAGATACAACAAAGGCATTCAAGGACCAAAGTCTGGGCTCTGTAAACAGAGAGAAGACATTAAATACATTAAGAATTGTCAGATCTGATTAGGAGAATTATTGCTAAATCAGTTGCATCAGTTGTCTAAAAGCTATTTTTGATGTTTACCTGTTATTTGCCAAAAAATTCAGAAGAAGAAAGTGGCCATGTCCATATTTCAGCCCAATACTGGGAGAAACTGGCTGGTTTCACAGCCAAGGATTAAATTTCCTTAAAAAACTTCCTTAGACTGTCAGAGTGAGGGGATGTAAATCTATTTACAGCCATACCTCTCATTGGTGTCTGAGTGTTTTTTAGCTGTGCCCTTCAATGCTTTTAAACTCTCTCGATTTTCTTTCTTCTCCTGCTGCCATTTCTTCATTTGTGTTTCCGAGACTTGGTGGAACCAATCCAGCTCATTCTGGGACACCTGAAGGCAGAAAAGAAAGAAAACTTTTATTTCTGAAAATTGTGGTTTAATACAAATCAGAGCTGGAGCAGACTGAGGATATTTGTGATCAATCAGGGAATCCTGGAATGGTTTGGGAGGGAAGGACACCTCCCACCACCCCAGGCTGCTCCAAGCCCTGTCCAGCCTGGCCTTGGACACTTCCAGGGATCCCTGGGATTCCACAACCTCTGATCCATGGGGAAAAGCTTTACCTTGGTCTCTTCAATACTTTTTTTCAAGAGCTCTTCCAAAGCACTGATTTCCTCCAATCTCCTGCTTTGTAACTGCTCAAATTTCTCCTCTGCTTCTCTGAGTTGTTCTTTCAATACCTGGTGCTCCTTTTCCATGCGGAGAATATCGCCCTGGAAATTAATCAGTTACAAAAACCAGTTTGATTTATACCTGTTCCCAGGGCAAAGGCCACATTTCCACACTTTTATCTCCTGGTGCAGACAGAAACCTGCCATGAACGTCACTCTGAACTGTGTCTATGCTCAAATGGAATATTTAAATTCAGCTTCTGAAAGAGGAAATACCTCATAAACATTCAACATCTGAATAGCTTAGAACAAAGCTATCAGAATATCAAATATCAGATCAAAGCTCAAAAATCATCTCCTTGTGGGGATGGGTGATGTTTCCAAGAACATCACAGAACACAAAACCAGCCAAACAACCCAAAATACAAAATATCTGTTAAAAACTGTTGTTTTCAGAGAACTTTCATTCCTTCATTATTCAGTTTTTGGGCATTCCTTTAACCTCCTTCATGAGAAATGTAAAGCAGGATGCAGGGAACTTACTTGTTGATTTTCAAATGGATGGAAAGGCAAAGTATTGGTTTCCCTATCAGCAACTTCTTGATTTACCTGGAGCAGAAAAAAAGTTAAGATTTGATTAAAAATCTTCTCAGTTCATAAATGAGCTGCTCTGGTTTGGAGCTTTTGAACCTCACCAAGAGTTTTACAAATCCAACTTTAATCCAGGCCTATAAATGATGCAGGAAAACATTGTGGTGGTGTTTCTGAAAGGGATTTTTTTGTTTCTTTCCCTGATTTCATTGACCACAAGCAATTCCAGGGAGTTCTGTGAGTCTTTAAACAAAGCAGTGCTCTAAATGTGTGAAAAATTAAGATTTGCAGGAAGTGTCTCACCCTCCTGTCAGGGAGTGGTACAGAGTGAGAAGGGCCCCCCTGAGCCTCCTCCACAAATCCAAATCCTCAAATGTTGTGGAAGTGAAAATAAATCCCTGAACTCATCACAAAAGGAAAAATAGCGACAGAGAAGGACTTTGCTTCCTCTCTAAAGTGAAGCTGAAACTTAAGTGTAGCACTTCCCTCTGGGGCACCCAGGGGAAAGAGCTGCAAAAACTTCAGGTACAACAAAATCTGGTGGGCAGCTCTGAGGAATTAAAATGAAAAATGAGTAAACACAGAAAGTGGCAGCAACTTAAACTGGAAGTTCTCAGGAATCATGGAATGGTTTGGGTTGGGAGGGATTTTAGGGATCATCTCATCCCAGCCCTGCCATGGCAGGGACACCTCCCACTGTCCCAGGAGCTCCCAATGTCCAGCCTGGCCTTGGGCACTGCCAGGGATCCAGGGGCAGCCCCAGCTGCTCTGGCAATTCCATCCCAGCCCCTGCCCACCCTGCCAGGGAACAATTCCTGCCCAAGATGCCAAGATCCAGCCCTGCCCTCTGCCCCTGGCAGCCATTCCCTGGCTCCTGGCCCTGCAGCCCTTGGCAATTGTCTCTCTGCAGCTTTCCTGGGGCTCCTTCAGGCCCTGCAAGGGACCCCGAGCTCAGCCCAAAGCTTCTCCTGGCCAGGCTGAACAATGGCAGCTGGGCCAGCCTTTGCTGCCAGCAGAGCTGCTCCATCCCTCTGTTGCCATTTGATTCAATAAACTGTATTATTAAGATAGTAGCAAACGTTAATAGTTAGCATTAGTTGACATTAGTAGTAGTTATGCTAAGGCTTGGTAGGCCGCATGTAACCTGCAGATGAACTGTATAGCAGATATTGCAATGTAAGCAGTGTAACTAGGAGATAATCTAAGGAATGTACCTTTTGGCAAAACTTGAAGGTCAAAGAGATAATCGTACCAAGTAGTGAAAGAAAGTAAGAAATTGTGATGATGAAGAAATCATGTAGAAAACATATAAAAACCCTGTAATTTTTCTGTGAAATGGGGCTCTGTCTTTGGACACTAGTCCACAGGCTCCCGGGCCCTCAATAAAGCACCGCATAAACGACTTCGGTTGTTTGTGTTTTCTTCGGATCAGGCAACACCTCTGCTCATCCTGGAGCCTCCTCTGGGCTCTCTCCAGCATTGTTCCCCTCCCACTCCTTACCTGAACAGCCACCATCCTTGTGTGAGGATTGCTCTTCATCTCAGGTTTATTTCTCCTTTCTTCTTCCTTTTTAACACATTTACCACCTTCAGCTTCATCTGAACCATTTGGAAAAGCAGAATCCTCCCCACCCGAGGTCTCCAACCGGCCCTTAAGGCCTTTCTTGCACTCCTGGACTTCAGCTGGCAGGGAACCCTCAGGGCTGTATTTTCCACATGGAATTGCTGATTCCCAGTGATCCAAATGAGCTCCAGGATCAGCATAAACCAAGGCAGGCTGTGCCAGGGCAGCAGGCAGGGGCAATATTCCATATTGATAACCCCACGAGCTCTGAGGCAAAAACACAGCCGGGCCCGCAGGCCCGAAGCTCTTCAATAAAACACCCGGAAGAAGCTCCTTGTTTTCCATGGAATTAACATCCTTGTTTTCCAGAGGATTCCCAGGTGTGAGGGAAGCAGGGAAGGAGCAGGGTAAATATTGTGGAGTCTCATAATCTGTTAATTTAGGAGTTGCTGATAAAGAGGGTTTCAAAGGGTACGACAGAGGCTTGAATTCCTGGGCATAGGGATTCAATGGCACCTTGCTGTGGGAAGAGTTCTCTTGGGATTCCTCAGATTTATCATTTTCCTCTTTATTCCCAGTCTTGTTTCTGCTTGGATTTCCTTCAAAAAGGACTGAGTGCTTCCTTAATCCAATCAGATCATCCACCATAATGAAACGAAGGGATTTCAGCAGGAAGGGCTCCAGGCCACCTTCATCTTCCACCACCTTCCGAGTTTCCTCAGGGAAATTTTCATATTCCCCAATCAGTAATTTATTATTAATTTCCAGAGGGCCATGTTCTTCCAAAATTTGAGAAAAATAACTTTAAAAAAAAAATAAGAGAGAGAGCTGTAACAATTAATTAGAATTTTTTAATGTATTTCACGACCATTTAATCCATTCCTTCATGGACATGCTACACACACCAGGATTCCAATTAATCCAAAAGAATTATTAAAATTATGAAGGAAAATCAACCCCCCCTGAAGCTGCTGAGCACAGAAATTTATACTCACTCATATAAATTTTCACAGATTGGATCTGGATTATTATTATTATTCATGTGATAATTGTTACTATTTGAAACATTATAAAGAGCTTCGAATTCCTCCAGTTGCTCCTGGAGATATTCTGGGATTACAAAGGGTTCATTTGAAAAATCTCTGTACCTTAAAAATCAGAAAAAAAAATAAAATAAATAAAGTTAACCCAGCCTTGGTATTTTTAAGGGATTCTTCTCCAGCAATTTGGAGTTTGGGCAATAAAAACAGAATCAAATACTCACAAATTATTTTCTTCTATAAATATCTTCTCTTCTTCACGTGGTGCTGTACTAACTCCACTGGATAATACTAAAATAGACTAATTGAAAACAGATTTTTACAATTTCTACCTCAAGCTCATGTAAAATAATCCACTGCAAAGACCAGGAGTAACTTATTTACACTGAATTTTGTTCTTTAAATTCATCATGTTCATTATGAACTGCAAAACTTCCAGGTGAAATTATTAGTGCTAAGCCACAGCAAGAAAGTTCCTAATTTAAAGTCATTAATTTCTTCTTCAGAACTTATTTGGGAAAAAGAATTTGGGATATTCAGCCCCAAATGCCTCTTTTTTTACCAATTCCATCAAAATTCAATCAAAATTTCTTTTAAATTTGAGGCTGTAACAAATTTACCAGAAGCAGGAGTTATCCCTCATTCCACATATGACTCTGGCTATTACTGCCTACACCACTACAGACTTTTTAGTTGTCTTCATGTTCATTATCTAATAATTTAGAAATACACAAATAAATGCACCTAATTCAGAAAAATAAATCCTGAGGAAAAATCTGAAGTTTACTCTTGAAATTCTAGGAATTTAAATGATAAAAAAGTGAGAGCACGAGGCTGGATCTGAGGTTTTCAATAAAGCAAAATCCTCCAAGAGGCAGCAGAAGATCCAGGCAGAATAATAGTCCAACAAAATCTATAAAATAATGAATAATGAATAACATTCCTGGACACAAAATGGTATTTTTACACTTAATTCCCATCCTCCCACATGGAAGATTAAAATCACAATAGTTCAGAATTAAGCCAGAGGAAGGTACCTCCAGTCAGAGCCAAAGTTAGTCATAAATAAATTTAAAAATAGCTTTTATACTGATAAATTTTAACAGAACTATTAAAGTTTGAGTCTTCACAGCTTAATTTTAATTCAAGAAAAGTAAGGAGTCTCCTCAAAGTATTTAAAAAACAGCTCCTATCCATCAGAATGCCAGAAATTCTACAGAAACCCCAATTTTTAGGTGGGTTTTTAGTAGGAAATGAGTGGTATCTGCTTTAGCAGCTTCCAGAGGTACTGACCTTTGAATCTTTCCAATTCTTCTTCCTGTTTTTGTTTTTAACTTTGATTTCATTATTCTGAAACAGAAAATACAATGAAGGCACAGGATTGGCAAATGTTGCCTCAGTTTTCCAAGAAGGACAGAGATGAAGGAAGTGAAATTTGAATTAATTCTTTAAAAGGATAGGGATTACAAATGAACAGAATAATTACAGGTTATTTTAGGCTGTAACACTGAAATCAAAGCAGTTTTATTGTGCTGGTTTTAATTGCATTCTTGGATTTTACCAATTCATGAAATGAAAAATCAAAAAAAATCTGCATTCCATTAATGTGTGCACTCAAAAAAATCTGCATGTCATTAACATGTAAGTGAAAAATTCTGCATTTTATTAATGCATACATTAAAAACTGCATTTTGTTACATGTGCACTTAAAATTCTTCATTTTATTAATGTTCACATGTAAAATTCTGCATTTTATTAGTATATACACATTAATTAACTCTAAAGCTTTATTCTGAATCAAATTCTGAAATAAATCCTGGGTTTGTAAAGACAAATTTAACTGCAGACAAGAACTTCAAATGAGAGACCTTCAAACATAGAATTAAATGAAATACAACATCTATTTCTGCCATCTGGGATGGATTTTAATGATGACACCAACCAGAAAATGATTCAGAATCAGGCGCACTTAAAAATTATTTAAAAGTATTTCAAGTATCAAATAATTTAAGAAAAGGGAGCTAAAACAAGATATTAAACCTCCAATAAGTCTGAAGGATGAGGCTGTAAAATATTTCCTTTTCTAAAATAGCAAAAAGTTCTTTTTGAGCTGAGGCCAAACAGAAATGAAATTCACTTACTGATAAATTTTCATTTCCCTGCTTCTTTAATATAATAGTTGGGTCATCTGTTGAGAGGATAAAAGTCATGGTGATTGATGGAAATAATAATATTGTATTTAATTTACAATTTAACTGTGAAATCACAGGAATTACTCCCCTAATCCTTTATCCAACGCCACCAAAGCAGCTCCAAAAGTGCAGCTACAGAACTTTAATGTTAAAAACCACACAATAAAAACGTATTTTTTATGGGAAATGTTCGATCCTTTTGCCTACTCACCCATTTTATCAAAGAATTCATCTAGAGCTTGATGGAGGTGTGGAAAATGTTCTCTGTTTTCTTCTAAAAGCCATATAAAACAACGGGATTTCTCTAGGGGAGGGGCGAGGAAATAATCACAAATTTCTTGCTTTTCACCATCAGCTGCCACATAATCAAATTTACTGCCATATTTCTGGTTCCACAGTGGGATTAAAATAGAAAAGTCAAGCTCTTGCAGAACTTGCCCATATTGAAGGAGAAAGTTTTTTGTAGCTGTCAGACCTGAAAAAGATGGAAAAATCCCAATATTTCATTCCAGCAAGAAATTTTTAGCATTTAAAATGTGATATTCCTCTTCGAAGGGGAAGAGGTTTGGTCTAGAAATTAAATGTACAGATGATGTGAGAGCTTTTGTGCCTTGGAAATGATAAAAATATGGCATTATATAACAAAATATGATATAATGATATGATATGATATTACATAACATTATATAAGATGATGTAACTATTATTTTAGTTCATTTAATATTATTTAATATTTATTTAACATTATATAATATTATTATAATAAATAAATAATAGGGAATGGGGCTGATAAAAATTCTACTCTCACCAATTATAATTATTATAATATATTAAATTAATTAATATTAATTAATTAAAATAGTATATGAATCAATTATATTATTATACTAAAACACTATAATTATAATTAATATATTATTATATTATAATATAGTAATAATTACAATAATAATTACAATAATATAATAATAACAACAAGATTTGGACCTATGAATTCTTGGAAGGATATGGATGTGATTGAGCAAAATGAAGAACCCCAAACCCCAAAATTCCACTTTTTTTTCCAATTATAAATCCAACAGGACACTGCAGAGCACCAACATGAAATGATTTCCAAGTCTAATGGCAAAACCCCGCCGTTATTTACGCTCCAAAACCAGATTATTGTCACAAATATCAGCATTTAACCCCATTCTGTAATTTTAAGACAATTTAAAAACAGTTCCAATTTCTCTTTCCGGCATGAGCCAAAGCCCTGCAGAGCTCCTGGCTCAGCCAGGTTGTGTTTCCCCCTCCAAATCGGGACAAGACCAAAGAGGACAAATTTTATTTTGCCGTTTAAAATGAAGGAAAAAAGTGGAAAACAGGGAATTTCTCTTATTTGTTCTGGCAGAACCCACCCAGGTTATCCAGGTGCTGCAGCCACTTGTGCACTTTGGGATCCACCTCTCCCAGCTGGCTCAGCACGTGCAGGAAGCCCCTGCTCTGCACCCGGCATTTCTGCTGGATTATGGAGCTGAGCAGCTGCTCCAGCACCTCCTGGGAAGTGCCACTGATTTGGGAGTAAGAGGTGAAATCCTCCTCTCTGATCACTCCCCACACCAATAATTCCTTTAATAATTTGGCAGCGTCAGGGACGGCGGCTTTGATCTGCTCGGAATTCCGCCGGATGTGCTGCAGGACCTGGTCCCCTGCGTACAATTCCTGGCCATAACCTGGAAAATTAAAATTATGGCATTAAAAAAAAAAGCACAAAACGAGCAAGATTTCATCTCCTTACCACAACTGAAAATAACTTCAAAGCACAGAGATAATTTAGATTAAGTGGTTGTGCTAATTATTTGTTTTACACTGAAAATGACGGGATTTAAATTATTACTTTTTCCATACATCCTGAGCATTAGGAATTTGATCCAACAGATTTAAATTTTTGTTTAAAGAAAGAAACACCTTGCCCAGATTTTAGGATAAAGTCACAGTGACCTGCAGTGGCTCCAAGGATCACAACTGAAGATGAGCCAAAGGAAAGGAAAAATCAAGTATTAAAAAAGAAACCAAAAACCAGGAAATAAATGAAAAGTGATTTTACAAATCCACAGGGGAGCCAAAATCTCCCAAATTTTCAGGATATGCCATAGCAGGGAGCAGGCACCCAGAGAATCCCAAACATGGGATTAAAAAAAAATACACCCAGAGTATTTAACAGGGAATCCTAGTAAATTATAAATTAATTAGAGGCCAAATTGATAATACAGACAAAAAAATAAATCTTCCAACATCTTCCCTTTTCCTTTGCCCTGAGAAGCTGCAGGGGAAGTTCCCAGCTCTGGAATGTGGAGTAGCCAACATCCAGCAAGGCAAAAGCTGAAGTTTTAAATGCCTACAAAGTCACAGACTGAAATATTTTTATTTTTCCCCATCATCTGAAATGTACATTTCAAGTACAAGGAGGAGATCAGTCTGTCTTTATTTGAGATTTTTTCCCTAACACTGTCCCGAGGTGCTTTTCCTGAAATCCTTTTTCAAGGGGTTCACTCAGAATTGGAGCTTTTCCCCTCTCCAGCTGATTCTGCAAGAACCAGCCAAGGAAAAGTCCAAGATTTCTACAAAGAATTAAACCAGACAGTAATTAAACCAGACAGTAATTAAACCAGACAGTAACACCCCCCAGCTGTTTGGACAATAAAAACAGAAGTGAAATAAAATTTGCCTTAAGTAAAAATGCAACTTTTTCACAGAGGGGTGATGTCCAGTGTTAGGATTAGGATATTCAAAATGCTGATTCCATTGCTTTGTGATAACTCAGAGTCACAGAATCCCAGGATAACTGAGCTTGGAAAAGCCCTCCAGGATCACCAAACCCAAACTTTGATCCCCACCTTGTCCCCAGCCCAGAGCTCTGAGTGCCACCTCCTTCCTTGGGCACCCCCAGGGATGGGAACTGCAAAGCTCCCATTCCAGTGCCCACCCTCCTTTCCATGGAGAAATCAGCCCCAAAATCCCAATTTCCACTCACCTCTGTGCTGACTGTACTGGGATTCTTCATTTCCATCCTGCTTTTCCTCAGCTTTTTTCCTGGCAGAATTCCAGGCCTCTTCTCGCGCTCGTTTTCGTTGCAGTTTTTTTTCTTGCTTCATTTTTATCTTCCTAAGACTGCAAAAAGCAATTCAGCAGCCAGCCAAACATTAATTGAGGTGAAAATATCACACTGAAAAGTACAAACAGCGTGAAAGTGGTCTTCATTTAGAAGCAGAGACCACAAAACTTCATAAAAAGATCAAGCAAAGACCACAAAACTTCATAGAAATATCAATGTCCTCAAGATGCAACAACTTTTACTCCTATTAAAGATGTCTAAATTAGGATTGGCTTCAACACTCTTAATTTATAACTCAGTATTTTCAACCAAATATTAACATTTTATTCTTTTCCTTTTTAAAAATCTTGTTTTGTCTGTCTTCTCAGCTTGATTTCTCATTATTTAAAGGTTAATTGACCAAAAAACTGCAAACTCAGTTATGTCAAAGGTCTGGGTATCAATAACTACAGCAGCAGCATAAAATACATTTTTTATTTACACTTTCTAAACATTCACACAAAATAAATTTTGTGGAACAATTTAAAGGCTTTTACCACTGGATTATAATGGATTTTACCAGATTTTTTTGGTTTATCAGGCAAAGGGCAAGGAGAACTTCCCAAAATATTGGTAAAAAGGCATGAAAACCCCTCCTGCTCTGCTCTCAAATCCATTCAAACAGGACAAATCTTACCTTGAACATTTCTGTTTTATACAGGCCCTTGGTGGTTCCTTGGGTTTTGGGATTTTTTGTTCAAACTACCAAAATAAGGGATAGGACAGGAATTAAATTTGGCTTATGACACAACAAACCCCACAATCATTTCTGCTCAATGTTGCCCTGGGGAGAATTTGTTATCTGGGGAGAATTCTCCATCCTCCTGTGGCTCTGGGGAGTTTTTCCTGAGGGATTATTGAATTTAGTGAATTCCAGCCCCCATCCATGTCAATCTGACCAACACCAAAAGGGAATTCTTGCTCCACTAGAACAGGAAATTAATATTCCTAAATAATCTTCACATTCTGCAGTTAAGGCAGCACAATTTTTATTTATTTTTTTTTCAGTTACATTCTCATCTTTACTTTATCCCCCTTAATATTCTAATTAATTTCATATAAAACATGACCATACTTACTTCACATTTTACCAACCCAGTAGAACTGAAAATAGCTATTTTTGAAATAAGGCCTTTACAATCAGGAGTAAAACACATTTCCTTAAGGAAATCCTGCAGGAAAAAAGGACACACACACAACAAAGGCATTTAAATCCACACACCATTTATGTCCTGACACAAATTAATTTCTTCATTTGAGGTGACCAAAGGAAGCACAATCCTAAACTCTTCCTGGATGCTGACTGGGAGCTGACTTGGGATGGGCTGAAAATCAAAAATCATGGAAAATTTGTGGCATCTTTTATTCTTTTTCTCTTTCCTCCAACTTCACACCCAAACTTTCCAGATTGCTTTTAGGAGCTCCTGATTTCCCTTCATTTTATCCTGGCAGCTGAATTTTGGGGAATTCCTTTACATATCTCAATGCAATGATCTTAAAAAAATTAAAAATTTGAGTCTGGCAAAGGCCTCACCTTATCATTTTTATCACTGTAGTTTGTTGTTTTCAGCTTTTTCCAGCAGCTGATGTGGAACTCCACCCTGCACTGCTGACAGCAAATAATACGTATAAAACCCTAAAAATGAGGAATGGCAACAACTGAACACCTTGAAATCAAACCATGAGGAAAAGCAGGGCTCAGCTTAGCAGATCATATAAAAAGGGACAGGAAATACATCAAGTTTTACTTCCCCAACCTTTCTCAGCTGAAAATTTACCTTAAAATCTGGGTCTGTAAAATATATTTGGATTTTGGAGTAGCCATGGCACTGCTGATATCGACAAACAGCATCTGGCTCTGGAGGGAATTTACATTCCTCAATACAATTCCTTAAAGCCACCTGGAAAACACAGAATTATCAGAGACAAACTGCACAGAAACCAGGAAAAGATTTCAACTTCTACTCACAAACTCCTGGGGACTGCAGTGAAGCACATCCCTCTTGGAAATGCAGTGATTAACACCCCCAAAAAAAAATCCCAACTCTTTCCCAGTGAAAGCCAGGGAAGATTGGCCTTTTATGGCCAAAATATTCCAGGGATTGCTCCAAGTGCTGGCAGCTGAGTGCTCACACACACAGAAAAATGCAGGTTTATCCTGAGCCAGTGTCCCACATCCTGACCCATTCCACAGGGATTTATTATTGTCCACATGATTCAACAGATTACAGGGCAAAAATGGAGTTTTTGGGGTCATTTCTGAAGATTCCCAGCATTTCCAGAGTGTTTCACCTGGGATCTGAGCTAAGGATGAAGCTCAGACCTGGCCCTGGGGAAGCAGGGAGGTCTCCCAGGATAATTTCTGAGGAAAAGGGCGGCTCTGTGTGAGATCAGGGCAGGGCTGGAATTGAGAGGCCCAGACTAATAAAACATGATCCAGAGCAGAGCCCTGATAAAGCCTGGCAGATATCTGCATCATCCAGAGCTCCCAGAGCACGGATTGCCAAATCCAGGCTGCCTGGGAGAAATCCTGGGGCTGATTTTTGGGAGGAAAAAACCAAGAATTGACACTTCTACCACAAACTCTGCAGGTCTGGGGAGTTTGGCCAAGTGAAAAACCTTCCCAGTTCTGCTGTGCCAAAAATGTGCAGAGCAGCTCCTGGTGCCAGATTTTTCCAGTCAAACAGGGAATTTTACCATGTAAATCCCAAGGTTTTATCCAGGAACTGGATAGAAAAGTCACCTATTTCAGTTTTAAATCCAACTTCCTGGGTTTTAGCCAGTTCAGAGTTTTTAACCAGCTCTCCCCAGAATTTTTTTGTGTGTTCACAGCTGGAAGTTTGGGAGCATTCAAGGAAGGGAATCAAACATCCCAAAATCATCTGGGGCTGGAAAAGAGCTCCAAAATCTGAGCTGTGACACATCCCCACCTTGAGTGCCACACCCAGGCCCTGTTTGGATGCCTCTGATAGATGAAGAATGAAAAAAAATGCTAAATAAAAAAAAAATGAAAAATGAAAAAAATTATAAAGGAAAAAAAATTTATAAATTAGAAAAATTATAAGTAACAAAAAAACATAAATGAAAAAATATAAATTAAGAAAAAAAAAATTACTCAAAAAATAATAAATGAAAAAAAATTTAAAAATTATTTAAAAAGTATAATTAAAAATGATAAATAACAAAAATGATAAATTAAAAAAAGAGAAATGGAATAAAAGAAAAAAAATATAAATTAAAACAATAAATTAAAAAAAGGTAAATGAAAAAAAGATAAAAGAAAAAATGATTGATATAGAAAATATTATAAATAAGAAATTATTTATATATAATATAAATTATATTCTATATTATACAATATATATTTATAATATATATATAATTTATATATAATATATATTATAAATAAAAATATTATAAATTACAAAAATGATAAAAGAAGAAAATTATAAATAAAAAATGATAAATGAAAAATATGATAAATAAAAAAGATAAATGAAAGAAGTGATAAATGAAAAAATTATAGATAAAAAATGATAAATAAAAAAGATAAATTACAAAAATGAGAAATTACCAAAATGATAAATAAAATTATTATCATTACTAATTATAGTAATAATAATTAAAAAATATAAATAAAAAATAAAGATAAATGGAAAAAAGTGACAAATGACAGAAATGATCCATGAGAAATGGCCACAGCTGGTGAGCTCACACAATGCTTGTTCCCAAACCCAGTGGCCTGTGGAAACTGCACAATTCCCACTGTGTGGAAGGAGGAAAAGTGGAATTTCAGCCTCAGTGTCCGGCCAGCTCAGCCAGGGCCCCTGGAGCTCACACAGCTCCTGCCCTGCTGCTCCCCACAGAGCCCCTGGAGCCTGGCAGGGACAGCAGGACAAGTCTCTGCTCGGGTTCTTTTTGTAAAAAAATACCTGTAAATCCTCTGTCAGATTCCTGTAAATCCTCTCTGAGATCTCTGAAATATACCTGTAAATTCCCTGTGAAATCTCTAAAATATACCTGTAAATCCTCTCTGAGATCTCTAAAATGTACCTGTAAATTCCCTGTGAAATCTCTAAAATATACCTGTAAATCCTCTGCAAATTCTCTGTGAAATCCCTGTAAATTCTCTGTGAAATCTCTGTGGAATACCTGTAAATTCTCTATAAATTCTCTGTGGAATACCTGTAAATTCTCTGTGAAATCCCTGTAAATTCTCTATGAAATACCTGTAAATTCTCTGTGAAATAACTGTAAATTCTCTATGAAATCCCTGTAAATTCTCTGTGAAATACCTGTAAATTCTCTATTCGTGACTCCTCGATGACCTGGGTTGTTCCTGGCCAGGTTAAAACCTCAGGAACAATCTTGAAATCAATCATCAGCTTTGACCTAAGGAACTGGTCGAGGGCATGAGCAAACCTGGAGTTTGGAACAGGAAAAAAACACACTCAGCTCACCTGGGAGGAACTTCCTAAAACTTCCCCCACTCATTTCATCCTGCCAGGAACAAACAGAGGTGACTGATGCTTCCAACCATCCCACAGGAGGAGGGGAGAAGGTTTGGTAGTAAAAACTCTTTATTTGGCATTGTTTTGGCATTGTTTTGGCATTGTTTTGGCATTTTTTGGCACTGCAGGGAGCTGGGGAATCCCTGAGGAATGGGAGAGTCCCAATTCCAGCCAGAGCCAACACCCCCAGCCCGGCCAGAGCTGTGCAAGGCACCTTCACCTCCAGGAAAACCAGGATAAAAGCACACAACATCCTGCACAAAAACTCCTTTTTCATCCTGTGAGGAACAGGGGGAAAAGTTTTCCCCCTTCCCCATCCCTGTGGGCAGCTCAGAGGGAGCAGGGTTGGGAATGAGGGAGTGAACTCCAGCCTGGGATAAAAGGAGGGCAGGAGAAAGGTGATTTTAGCTGTTTTGCTTTGTCTCCCACTCTCCAGTGTTATTTTAATGGACAATAAAGTTATTTTTCCTCATGTTGAGCGTTCCCTGTGAGTGATTGGGGAGTGGTTTCCTTGTCTTTACCTCCACCCCGAGCTTTTCCATGGAATTTCTCCCCTCTCCCACACAAGAGCAGGATCACAGCTGGATAAGGAGCTCCCAGCCAGCCCCACCATGAGCCTTTAGGGGGGGGATTTTGATCCCACAGAGCACCAGGGATACCCCAAAATCCCTCCACGAGCTCCCCATAACTCCTGCCCCTACCTCAGCCAGGATTCCAGTTTGTTTCTTGTCCTGCCCCTGAATTTTGGGCTCTCCCTGTGCCTCTGGGATGTGCCAGCTCAGGAAAATTCCCTTTTATCTGCTCCAGGGAATTTCTGACTCACTGGAGCCTTATCTCAGTCCAAGGTCACTCTCCAGCTCCCCAGGGATGAGATAAAGTCAAATTTCTTTAGGATGCATTTTATTCCCCCAGAACAAAGAGGTTTTGTTCTTTTCCTCTGAGCTCTCCCTCACTACAGGGCCGTGATCCTTGAATCCCAAACATTCCCTCAAATCTGCTCCCTTCAGCAGGAACAAACTTCCACTTGTATTAAATCACTGTATTATAAATTGTAATCTGTAATAATTGTACTGTAAATCCACTGTATTCAATCCATTGTATTAAACACACATGATGGATGAATTTAATGATTAACACTGAAAAATTAAAGCTCCACCAAGCACAGTTCCTCAAATAAAAAGATTTTTTCCAACAAAACCTGAAATTTTCCATCAGACCAACCTGTTTTGCCTGAGGTAAACCTTTCCAATTCCATAGTGTGCCAAACAAAAACAACTTTCTTCTGGATATTCCTCAATTATTTTCTTAAACTGATCTTCAGCCTTTGCCAATGCCTTCAAAAGAAATGTGAGACACAAATACATGGAGTTTTGCCAGAATATTTCCACTCTTCCTGGGCTTTTTCCTCCTTTAGAGTGGGTCAGTGTGCTCTGTTCCTTGATCAGTCTTAGGAACAGTAAATGGAATTACACACCCCTGTGATCACAGGCAAAACTTCCCTTTCTTCTTTTAAAAAAAACCCCAATTTATTCTGTAAACAGGGACTTTCTGTAACATAAAGGAGTGAAATGACTGAGCTCAGCTATTTTGAAATTCACTGTAGGACACTGAATATTTACACTGCAGGAAGAAACACCCAAAAGAAAAAAAAACCAACCCCCAGTTCTGCTTTTGCATTTTTCACAACCCAAAGCAATTCCTGGCTCTTGTTTTAAGAACAGAAATAAAAATTATTGACTGTCATTCCTTGGTACTTAGCTGCTCATTTGAAGGCTCACAAAGAAATTTTATTTTATAGCCTATTTTATCCAAAATCATCAAGGATTTAGTCCCAGATATTTAAGTGTAGAATTCCAAAATGTGTCCTGAGGTTTCTTTCTTCCCCTCCCCATCCTTGCAGTTGGGAAGATACAAAAAGTGTGTGGGAAACCGAGCTGGAAATTGGAATTAAAGCAGTAATTACATAGAAAATAAATAAACAGATCAATAAATAGATAAATAAATAAAAATACAAATAAATTCATATCCTACCTCAGGATGTCCCAATCCCAGGAGGGCAGTGGCATGTCCATAGAGGAGTATAACATAATTAATATTAAGAATATTCACAGACTGCAAAAAAAAACCAAACAAAAAAGAGTCAAATCATTGTCACAGCACAACAAAAAACACGTTAAAAACACTGGAAATTAATTAAGAGAATTAAATCCCAACTTTTGGGTCAGTGGCTGATCAGGTAAGGCTACACAGACACCAAATTTCACAGTATTTGTCATCAAAATCCTTCTTACCCTTCATTCTTATCAATCAAAGTCCATCTGACAAGCACAGAAAAGACCTTTAAGATCATCAAGTCCAAACAACAATGGTGTTTTTATTAAAAAACCCCAATATTTGATCCAAATATTTGGTATTATTCTTCTAAAAATCTTAGTTTGGAGTATTTCCCAAAATATTTGTCTCTGCAGCCAACAATTCAATAAAATATTTGATAAATGAAATTTTAATTGAAATTTAAGTTTTTAAATTTCACTTTTTAAATTGAAATTTAATTTTTTTAATAATTTCAAAAAAAAAAAATAAAATTTGAATAAACTAAAATATTATTTTGAGGGAAAAAAAAAATAAAATTTGAATAAACTAAAATATTATTTTGAGGGAAGGGAGGAGTGGCACAGGGTGGTGGAGGAAGAAACCTCCAGCAGTGCCAAAGAGGAGGGGATTTTGCTGATTTTACCGAAAATCCTGAGGTGTAGAGGATGCTGAGGAGTTGGGAAAAGGCTCGTTCAGCTCTGTGGCACTGCTGCTCCAGCAGGGCTCTGCAGCCATCCTGAGCCAGGGACTTCACATCCTCTGGCAGAGAGTTGAAATCCACCTGGAATGTGCAGGCAAAGTCAGGCAATCCAAAAGAAAACTGAATTTTCCTTTTTTTAATTTTTTTTTTAAATTTTTTTAAAAATAAATAATAATATTTTGGTAAATGTTTTCCCCACTCCACCTCCAAATATTTTTACACTGCACCCAAAACACATCCTGTGCTGCTGCTGGGTTGTTTTTCCACCCTCTTCTCACAATTTGCAGCCAGCACAAAAATCAGGATTGTTTTGGGGGAAGGAAGGAGTGGAACAGGGCGTTGAATGTATAAATTTGAATTTCTGGGGGGAAAAAAAGCAGGTAATTTCTCAGGGTTTACCACAAATTCTGGAGTATTCAAGGCTCTCAGCAGGGGTAATAGAACGGGTTTATCCCTGTCCAGCAAGGTTCCAGCACCCTCCAGCCCAAGGGATTTCACATCTGGACTGAAATCCACCTGGAATGTTTAAAAGACAGTAAATTCAAAAGAAAACTTTTTTTTTCTTCTTTTTTTTTTTCCTTTTTTTTTCCTTTCAAAAGCAAACAAAATACTTGCTTTGGAAAACAAATATTTGCTAAAATACTTCTGCAGCAGTCAAGTGGAAATTCGGCGTCCTCCTGAATTGTTTCTCTCCAATTTCACTTTTCCAGCAGCAAAGGAGGTGCATTTCTATAAAACTCTTGTACAGGATTTTCATGGAGCTGCTGATCTCTTAAAAACCTCGTTTTTATTCTAAATTTCCCTCCAGAAAGCTGCAATTTTAGTTCAAGTATCATTTTCATTCTTCTTCCACATAAAAAAAAAAACCCCAAAAACACAACCCAGATTTCTGCCTTTCCTCATTTTTTGTATCCAAACGTTTTTGGAACATCTGGGAAGGCTTCAGGGTCCATTATTTTATTCTGTTATTTGTTATTATGTGATGTTAAAATTGTATTTTGTTTTCACTATTGATACTACCTGAAATCTGCAGGAATTTCCAGCAGGGGAAACTAATAAATAAATAATGAAACTAATAATAAATAATGAAAATTTGTCTTAATTTCCTAAAACTCCTGGGTTAATGCTGTCCCATGCAGTTACAGAATAGAATAAATTATATTAATGGTAAGGTACATGGCATATAAAGCAGATTAAACTAATGAAAATGTTCCTTTCAACTCCAGCAATTAAATTAGCAAAACAAACAGGTATTTTAGAGGAAATAAGGGTAGAACCTGCATTTTCTCCTAAATTCAGTTTTGTCCTGCGAGATATTTGATCAGGACAGATTTTTGGTATCTACATCCCCCAATTAACAGGGATGAAATAATTAATTATGTGCATTCCCATGATTTCCTTCAGGAACTCATTGGTGCTAAGGCCAGAGAAGGAGAATTTTCCCTCAATGTATGAATTTTATAGCATTTCCAACAGCCACAAAATACCACAAAATTGGTTATTTCCAAACGTATCCAACACTGGAAAACATTTAGGCAGAAATTTGGGAAGGGCTTTTCAAATCCCTGAATGATCCCAGCCAGGTTTTACAGCAGGAGAAGAAAGAGAAACCAGGACAAAAGGACAGAATAAATCAGTGTAACCACAGAATTTCCACCTCTGATCAAAGCCACGCGTTAAATTTTGGGATTAACCAAGATTTTGTGCAATTCTCCTAAAAAATGATGAAGAATTTCCAATTTAAGGCCGAATTTCCATTACCTGTGGCCCAGTACAGAAACTTTTATCCTCCATGGCTTTAGACTCCCTCTTCAAATCCACATGATCCCTACAAAAAACAGGACAGGGGCACCAAGGGGTTGAAAATGTGCTTTAAATCTCAGTTTATTTTCAATAAACTGTGGTTTTCATAGGTCTGAGCAATTCCTCCCAGCAGAGAAGCGATTTTGGAGCTGGTTCTGCTCCTTTAAAGAGGATTTGGTCCATGGTAAATGAAAATATTCCCCCTCCTTGAAGTGAAAGGAAAAGGAAGCCATTGATAATTCAGTGAAATGCCCTCTCCTGTGGTAAAATTTCAGTTTTTCTACCTACACTGGTACTCAAAAAACGACAGGAAAACAACAGGATTGTACTGAAATAAATAGTGATTAAAAGAAATTTGGGGCTGTGGTCACACTTAAGATTTAGGACTGGGAATAATCAGATTTCTTGAAGGTCTGGGCTTTTCTGCACCAGAAATGTGCCTTGGAAAAATTATCTTTAATGGAAACTTCTCTATTTCCATGTCAAAATCCTGTTTTGCTGCACCCTAAATCCTAAACACAACCAAAAATCTCTGGAGTGTGGTGGCCCCAGCACCACTGGAAATAATGAATGATTTCCTCTGATAAACCCTGAGGTGGAAGCATAAATATTACCCATAAAATCAATAGTTTTACCTCAATTAATTGAATTTTGGCCCCAAACACAACCATCCCTGTTCCTGTTCCACAGGAACATCCCTGGCCTTAAAATCAGACTTTTGATTGTGCTTTAAGTGAAAATTGGAGCCAACAAACAACTAAAGGACTGCAAGCAAATAAATATAAATATAAATATAAATATAAATATAAATATAAATATAAATATAAATATAAATATAAATATAAATATATTTAAGACTTATAAAACCAGGTTTCATCTTTTTCCTCAGCTCAGGGAGTGTCAGAGGAGTTTGAAAAATTATTTGGTGTGAGGAGGCCTTGGAAATGAGATAAAAGTGAGTTACAATTGTTGCTGTAACTTTGGATGTAACATCTGAAACAAAACTCCTGTTTCCCCTCTGCTTCAACAGCAAATATTCAAATTATGCCTTCATTTGTTAAAATTCAGCAGGGTATAGAATATTCAGTTTTCAAGAAATAAGTGTAGAAAAACTGGAATTTTGGGGACTTTATCCAATTTATCAGGATGTAAAAAATGACATGAAGCTGTTAGCAATGAGCAAGCAGCAAATCCAAGTTGCAATAATCTTATATAAAATAACTCAAAAATAATAATAAATTTAAAAACAAACAGTATTTCTTACCTCATCTTTTCATAGTCACAAGTTTTGGTTTTTTGCCTTCGTTTGTTTTGCTGACTTTGGTCTGTAATGAGGAAAAGGGTTTTAAACAAAATGATCATTACCTAAAACAAGCAAACAAAAAAATACACTTGGAACTCACATTTGGCTCTATAAATTGTAGATCTTAAAAACTGACAAGGTGAAAATTAACATGACCAAGAAGTGTTAACAGCGTGGATTTGATTTTAGTTTTGTTCAATAGTATAATTGGATTAATCAAATCCTAAAGGGGGAAGATTTTAAACAAATAAAAGAACCTTAAAATCCTTCAAGACATGCTCTGACCCCAAAAAATGGTGATTATTAAAGTGGGCTCCAGGCTAAAGAAATCAATCTGTCCTGTAAGAGCAGAGTTGATAATATTAAATATTTATTTCTATTATAGAACTGTGTATTGGCTATTAGAATGCATACATTGTATGTTATATAATGTATTATAAAATAATATTATGGAATATTTTATATTATTATTGTTTGGTTTTGGGGTGGTTTTTTTTTGTTATTCTCTTAGTGGCCAATCAGAATTTTCAAAGGGAATAACAGATCCCTACGGAAGTCCAAGTTTCTCTGGAAAAAATTGTGAGGATGAATTTTTTACTTCCAAACCCCCAAGTTAAAGTTAAGTTCAAGCCCTGTCAATCTCAAATGTAAATAAACAGAGACAGATGGGTCTGGCTACAAAACAAATCAACATGGAAATGCTGGGTGACCAAAACAAGGATGGATTTATCACCTAAGACCAATCCACTTTTAATTCTCAAATTTCACATCAGAACTGCAGAGATCCAGCCCTGTGTGACTGAGGAAACAACTCCTGAGCAACAAGGAAGGAGGAAATGTGGTTTAATGCTTTATTGTGATGGGCAAACGCAGGAATTCCTGCCATTAACTGCAAAATCTTCTTTTTTTCTTGGACACACCCACAGGATAAACAATCCAGCACCTGGATTGAAACTTTTGGGCACTGGGTTCTTCTTATGCTGAACTACCGGGAAATCAGATTTGTCAATTGGAGAAGGGGTTATTAATGTTATATTTGAAATTTTAGCAACCTTCTGCACTTAAAAATGATCCTCAGGAGTATTTTAAACACAAAATCCTGAAAGACACCAACTGTGGAAAAACCCAGCTGCAGCCCTGAGCGCTCTCCCTGCAGGCAGGGGAGGTGTCCCAGGTAAATTCCTCAGGTAAATCCTACCCTGGGGCACTTCAAGCCTTGTGCCAGGAGCAATTCCTCATTAAGAACAACTCAATGACCTGAAACTTAAATGAGTCAGCACAGAAATCAGGAGCCACCAGGACTGGACATGTCCAGAATTGTTCCAGGGACCACTCCTAGAGTGGATGGCTGCTGGAACACATGGGAACTGCAGAGCTCTGCTAAAAATCACCACCAATTCCTCTGATTAGAGATATTTAAATGATGGAAAATAAGAATCCTTCTGGAAGCCTGAAAGCACCTCCAGCACATCATCCTTTAACCATGCAAAGACCGAGATATTTCACCTTTCCTTCGTTTTATGTGTTGATTTCCCCGAAGGAACCGATCTAACTCGCAACAAAATCTTAGTGAGGAGGAAAGAAACCATCCAACCATCGAAGGAAGAAATCAATCAGCATTGGTTTGTTTTTTTTATCCCCCTGAATGATCCAATTTCAAAAGCCATTCAAACAATAATTACTGCAGAAACAATTCCCATAGAAACAACTCCTCCCCCACAACACCCAACTTAAAATGCTACTTCCAGATGAAATAAAAAAGCTTCAAAATAAAGGTAACAACCAAATCCAGCTGATTTACAGTTAAAATACTTAAGGAAATGCATTAATTCCACAGAAAACATCATTTACTTACCCCACAAACACTTAAAAATATTAGGAGGAGTAGTATTACTTTTCCTAACACTTTCCATTAGGAGTGACCAAAGATATTTAATAAAAATATACACAAGCTCAAAGAAACAGTACATGAAGACCAAAAACAGGAAGTAGCAGGAAAAATTAATCAAAAAGGCCAATAACTTTACAATAATATAATTTGGCATTAAGTTCTTTCCCATTAGAACTCCTGCAAGTTCACTGAACAAAGGCAAAGGGGAAAAAAAAGAAAAAGGCTCTTCCTCCCCACCCACAGCAAACTGGGGCCAGCCAGTCACTGGGAGCCTCCTCCTTCTTTCAAATCAAATATTTTGCTCCACATAATGAGGGGGAGGAGACGCGGGACGAACCCGAGTTGCGTCGAGATTCCCGCGCGCCCGGCGCGTTCCGCGCTGTTTCACCAGGAATTGTCAGATTTATCCCAGCATTCATCCTCTCTTCCTTCAGCAATCCCTCCAAAAATCAGCCACCCTGCCCCTTCTCCAGCCTCTCTCTGCCTGCCCTCCTTGCTCTCCCAGGGAAGAATTTTTAATTTAATGCCCAGTTTCACGTCTGTCCTCTGACAGGAGAAGGGAAATTCCCGGTCCCCCTGAAGGTGCTGGATAAGAGCTCAGAGCCCGACTTGCAAAGGAGATAAAAGAATGTCAGAGAGACCCAGAGGATGCTGAACACAGCTGGAAACTGGGAGGGAACAGATAACGAGGAGGGCAGAGGGGATGGGGCAAAATGACGAAACCAGAACCAGCAGCAGACACCCAAAGAGGAGCTCAAGGCAAGGAAACTCCAAATACTGGGGGCTCTCAGTCAATACCAAGCCCAGAGAAGCCTTCAAATGACCCTCCAGGAGCTCCAGGAAGAGGTGGATGAATTCCAGAATGAATTCCAGAGGTCTCTGGGTGTGCTCAGCACTGAGGATTAGGAGTGGCTGATTGTTGGAACGCTGGGCACAGAGAATTTCAGGCTTTTTGTGCTTGACAGAGCCACAGGAGAACACTGGATTTGACCTGAGGCCGTGGAAAAGGCTTCCAAAATTGACAGACAGAAGTGAAACTGTTCTGTGTAGTTTGAATAGTATCACTTGGTAGAAAATTTAGACTTTAAAATACAGTAATATATACACAACAAGGTGGAGGTTTAGGGCGTCAGCTTGCCTTGTTCCTTCTCCTCCTTCTTCACAGATTTTAGTAATATTGTGTGATTGGACAGCAAAATCCACAGTGGGGTGTTTGGTTATCCAGTTAAAAGTAATAAATTAGTTGGCAATTTATAACTGGGGAGTTTAGACTTAAAAGGCCTTGGAGAGAGAGATCTGGAGCTCCATTTTTTTGATTGTCAGCTCAGTGTGCAAATGAACTGAGAGAATGTAATAGAAATAAGAAAAAATCAACACCCAGTCCAAACACAAAAACTGTCTCTTTCACTCATTAATCCCAACCTCAAAAAGAAGCCAAGAAATAAAGCACAAGACACTCCACAGCTGCTTTTTCATCCTTCAGACTGGGTTAGAAAGTTTGGGTTTGGTTGGTTTCAGCATCAGCTCCAGGCCATTCCCTGTGTCCTGTCATTCCCTGCTCCAGGTCTCTCCTGGAGCCCCTTCAGGTCCTGCAAGGGGATTTAAGGTTTGCCTGGAGCCTTCTCTGCTCCAGTCTAAACAATAATCATTGCTTGAAGAAATAAATATTGATACTAAAGTATCAACTGATTGATTAAAATCCCTTTCTCTCATCATTTTATCTCCATCAACTGAAATACCGGATTTGTATCACCTACACCAACATCTTGGGTTTGCCATCCCCAGTCCTCCCAGAAAGGATCAACTCCACCTCAAAAAAAACCCTTGGGCATATTTTGGAAAGTCAGGAAGCACTTGAGACTTGATTAGCATTAATTAGGGTTCGATAGCCAGGATGCCTTGGCAAGAACAAACAGAGCTTTGAAGATCGAAAGGAAATTGAATCAACCCCGAGACAGGGAAGAAGATTGAATCAAGTGGAAGAGATGTTGCAAAATGTGTAATTTTGTATGTTTGTATGATGTTTAACCTGATCCTTGTGGCCTTCCTAGCAGGGTCCAGAAGCTCATGCAGCCCACAGTAAAATCAGATTTTAGTGATCTGATCACCACTCAGAACTCCCCATCGCAGACAGGCTAAACCAGAGACCAGGTCTGGCACTAAACCTGGACCCAGGCACACCCAAACTCCTCCTGGAGAAGGGATTTAGAAAGCCAGGAGTTCCCCAGGCTCCCAGGGAACAATTCCTGCCCAAGATCCCATCCAGCCCTGCCCATTCCCTGGCTCTTGTCCCTCCAGCCTTGTCCAAATCCCTCTCCTGGAGCCCCTTCAGGCCCTGCAAGGGGCTCTGAGCTCTCCCCAAAACCTCTCCCAGGCTGAGCAATCCCAGCTCTCCCAGCCTGTTTTCCCAGAAGAAGAAAGTCTTCATTCTTTCCTCCACTACCACTCCACATCTTTCCAACCAAAAACATCCTGAGATGTCCCGTGCAAGCTTCCCCAGGTTTTCCACCTCCCAAGAAACCCTTTCACCCTCCAGGATGTTCACAAAGCTCCCAAGACCAGGATTGCTTTTCCCAACGCTCATTTTTAAAGCAGTGTTTCCTGATACACCTTCAGTGGCTTCCTAAAACCCGATTTTCAAGTGCTCTGTGCTTTGCCACCTCCTCAGGTGTTTAAATACGCCAGGAACTGGCAACCAAAGGCTTCAGTGAGAGCAGGTGGTAAAAAAAAAACCCAGGAAAATTTAGGAAGGGATTTTCCTTTGAAGCTCAGAACAGCCTGAACTTCACCTGCAGCACATAAAAGTAATTCTGGCACTGGGGGAGTTTTGGGGGGTGGGAGTTCTCCCTAGGAAATTATTTATTCATTAAAAAAAAAACCAAAAATCAACAAGAAATCACACAACTCTCCAAGTCTGCAGCTAAAAATCCACTCTGCCAAGTATTTTGTGGCCTCATCCCTCTCTACCTGCAGAATTATTTTCTGATGTAGCTTTTATTAACCACAAATTCACTGTAAGTGTTGAAATACAGACTCCTCTTTAAATTTAGATCCTTTCAGATCATGGCTCAGGGGGAGGGAAAGCATTTCCAGCCTGTGACTCAGATTTTACTCTTTAATTCCAGTTTCAATCCTGAATTCAGTCAAGGAGACTCAAATTACAAACGCATCAAGGAATTAAGACAGAAATACAGAAGTGTCTAAGGAAGAAGTAAAAGATTATTGTTGTGGAAATGACAGGAAATGCACTTCTGGTTATTAATTATGGCAGCAGCAGAGGTAAAAGTGGCCCAGACTTGATGAAAAGCAAAAATAAACTCACTTGGAGGCTGCTCCAGCGTGGAAACTTTGCCTTCTGCTTCCTGGGGCTCAGTCACCTGCCGGCAAAAATATCAAATTACAAAACTCCAATCCATCTCCCTCACTGAAAAAAAACAAACCCCAAACCCCTCAACAACAAAAGAAATGAAAATGTGCTGTGTTATGCTCTTAATCAAGAAGCAGATAAAAAGGATTACATTAATGAAAGCGCTTTTATAATGATTTTCCTCCCGGGTTTGTCTCAATTCGGAATCTGACAAGCACCAGCCTCTTCCACAGGAATATCCACCCTGAGGGAAGCCAAACTCACAGCCCTGCAGAGAGGTTTTCAGGAGGAAATTCAAGAAAACCCCTGAGCACACCTGGGGCTTTCCCCAGCCCGTTTTTCTCTGCCAACAAATTCCAGAATTTCCATTTCCTGCCCTCCTGCTCTGGTTTCGTTTTCCCAGGGCCACGTCACTGCCCAGGGCCCTCCCCCTGCTCTGAGAGCACAAACAGCTCTGCTGGAATGGGCCTGGACTGGCTCTAAATTCACTTTATTTATCAGCATTTGCTGCATTATGCAGCTTTTTTTATAGTGCAGTTCATTGGCTAAGTTAGAATAGAATAAAATATAATAAATAGAATAAATATAAATGAAATAGTAAATAAAATAGAATAAAAATATAAATAGAATAAATTATAAATTTATAATTATAATATATAATTGATATAAAATACTTTATAGTTATAAATATTTAAATCTAATACTATTTCTATGTTTCTATATATAATAAAACAAATATATCATATATATCATTAACACATAAATTCTAATTTATTATCACAGTAACAGCAGCAAAAACAATACAAACGTCACAGATGCCTCTTTAAATTAATTACATTAATTAGCTTATTATGCCTCTTTAATTAAATTAATTAGCTAATTGAAAATGGAAAAAGCTACAAATAAAAAATTAAAAGTACAAAACATGACAGTGGCCATCTCCTCCTCCCACCTCCTTTAAAATCCCAATTTCTGCAGCGGGTTTGGAAGGAAATATCCCAGGAAAATTGCACAATTGCTGAAAGAACTCCAGAATTCCAGGCAATGGAATTCCAGCAATTCCAGCTGTACCTTGGCATTGTGTTTTTGAGGCCCCTGGGAATGTTTGGGCTCAGCCTGGGTTTTCTTCCTCTCTTTCTCTCCTCCTTTCTGTTTCTGGGAGGTTCTTGAAGGAGATTTTGAAGAAGAGACTCTGAGGTGGAAAAGGAGAGAATCTCTGTGCTTTTCTCCGTATTTTACAGGCATATAGCATGAAAAAAGCAGATTAATATAAATTAATCTAATTAATACATTAGAGGCGTGTAATCCCATAAATATATTTGAAATATTTCATCGCTCATGCTTTTACAGCTTCAAACTGCACAGTCCAAACTTGTGAAAAGATACAGCAACAGCAAAAAAGTCACAATATTTTCTACAAATGGAATTGAATGACTAAATTTACATCTTTAAAAATTAACTCATTAATAATGGCAGTTAATTGTTTAAACTACCCTGGCCCCACTGCTTTGGATACCCAAGATAAATTGATTTAGTTCTTAGAAATCCTCAGTACTCCTGATCAATTTAATACTTCCATTTTTAATTGCTGACAGATAACTTTTATGCAATGTCCACATTATGTAGCACTTAAACCTTCTACTAAACACTGCCAATTAAAAAACAAATCAATCAATTAAAAACAAAGCAATTCCTTACTTCGCCTCAAGCAGAGCCTCCTTCGCCTTCTGTTTATGCTTAGTACCTACAAAACAAACAAATTCATTATTTAACTTATAATTTAAAATAAATTTAATTAATTTTAATTAAATTTAAATAATTAAAATTTATTTATTTAATTTTAAGTTAATTTCGTTAAAATTAAATTAATAAATTTAAATCAAATGTCTTTATTTTTTATTTGAATTTTTTTATTTAAATTTAAAATAAAATTAATTCATTTTAATTTAATTAAAAATTAATAAATTTAAATGAAATTTAATTTTATTTAATTAATTTTATTTTAATTTCTTTTGTTTGAATTTATAATTAAATTAATTAAATCATTTTAATTTGATCAAAATTAAATTAATAAACACATTTAAATCAAATTTAATCTTATTTAATTTGTTTTTATTTAATTTCTTTCATTTAAATTTAAAATAAAATTAATTAAGTAACTTTAATTTGATCAAAATTAAATTAATAAACACATTTAAATCAAATTTAATCTTATTTAATTTGGTTTTATTTTAATTTCTTTCATTTAAATTTAAAATAGAAATATTTAAATAATTTTAATTCGATCAAAAATCAAACTAAAAATAAAAAAATGAGCTGTTATCGTGGCAAAGCTCCCCAGTTTTGCAATCAATAAATTACCATGGATTTCCTGCAGGCTCTTCTTGAGTGTTTCATTCTGCTGGAGGAGCTCCTTGAGCCCCTGGGGGTCTTTCTGGCAGAGCTCCTGCGCTTTCCTGTTGGCCTCCAGTGCGTGCTCAGCCTCTCCCAGCAGGGCCAGGGCTTTGCAGTAGTGGTAGTGACCCTGGCAGGACAAAAAAATTCACAATTTGAAGGTTTTAGTCACACCCAGGAGTGAAGGATTTCTACCCAAAGCTGCTGCAGTAACAGCAAAAAGTCAAGTTTGGTATCCTGCAGAAAGGGAACTGCTCCCAGCTGATGAAAATCAGATTTTAACTGATTTAAGCACAGACCAAACAGGGAAAATCCATTGGGAAAAGCCATTGGGAAGAGCTTTTGGGGGGAAAAGTGGATTTGGTGGTTTTTTGCTTTGGAAAAGAGCAAATTTGCTTTTTTTCCCCCCCTAATCTCAGCTACTTTGCAATGTTCTAAGCATTTATGATTTAATTATTTTCCATATACTTTTATATATATAATAAAATAACTTATACAATATGCAATCTAATTAAAAATAGTAATTAAATAATTATTACAATATAATATAATTTATATAAATGTATAAAAATATTTTTCTGTTTACTCTCCTCTGAGCCAAGAATATTAATTGATTATTTATTTTATATATGTACATATATATATTTTATTTATATAAAATAGATTTTATATAAAAATATTTATATTTGTGTATATATATACATACTATATACATATATATACATACACTAAATAATATAATTTATACAATGTAAAATAAAAATGAAATAATAATGTTTATAAATATATTTAAATAATTTATTATTTACTCTTCTCTGGGCCAAGAATATTATTTATTTACTACATATACATATATAGTATGCATATATACTATGCATATATACTATATATGCATAAATATAATAATTAACATAATATATAAATAAAATTAAAATAATTATTTATATACATAAATAATTTATTATTTACTCTCCTCTGGGCCAAGAATATTGGGAAATACCTGTTGGCCATTAAGCAGAATATTTTTAGATATTCTACATGTTGTATTTTCTTTTGAAGCATTCTGATAACTCACAACATAAGAAATATTTTCTTCTATCTTTACACAGGCCAAGCACCTCACACCAACACTGGCAGATTCAAATTTTAGATTTAAAATAATTTTTTAGATTTAAAATAACATTTTAAATGTAAAAACCCCAAGCAAACTGCACTTGGCAGAATTCTCAGTCCACAAAGCTCTCGTGTTCATTCATTAAAAATCAGCTCTGAGTTCTCCTCTTGCCCTAAAATGCCAAAAAAAAGGGGATTTTGGAATAGAAACCAACCTTTGGCCAATCAGGCTTGAGAACTATGGCTCTTTTTCCATCAATTACAGCTTTCCTGAGAGAAGGGAGGGGAAAGGAGAGGAATTTATTATTTATACCTCCAAAAAAACTCTCCAGGCTGGTGTGAAGAGCAGAAATACAAATACAATAAATTAGAATATAAAAATAAAATAAATGGAGTAAAACAGCAGCTGGTGGAACTATGGAATGGTTTGGGTGGGAAAGGACCTTAAACCTCATCCAGCTCCACCCCAAAATGCACAGGGACACCTTCCACTGTCCCAGGCTGCTCCAACCTGGCCTTGGGCACTTCCAGGGATGAGAAATGCGTAATTACAACCAACTGCAGTCACATCATCAGAAATCATTTCAAGTTTTAGCTGCAGGAAACCCAGTTTTCTTGGAAAACACCCCGTTTTGAAGGCAGCTCAGCCCAGCACTCCAGGGGTTACTCACTCGTACTGCCCGGTGAGAATGAAGCACAGGGCTCGGTTCCCATACAGGAGGTGGTTTGTAGGGCTTGGAAAAAAGAAGATTATGGACAGTTAATAATGGGTATTCCTATTAAAAACCCTAAAGAGAAGGGAAAAAAATTCAATTTTCAGCACAGAAAACCCCGTGGATTTGTCACTGGGAATGTTCATTTTAATGGTGGGATCTTCTCTAAGATTTGGGCCGTTAAAACAACTTCCAAATAATTCAAATTATTCTCAGCCTACTCTTAAAAAGCAGCTCAGCTCTGCAGTTCCAGGAACTCACAGATCTCTGCTCTTTACCAGGATTTCCTGGTTTTCCACCAAGTTCTGCTTTTCCCTTCTCGGATTTGACTCAAGGGACTCCATTTTGCAAGAAACCAGCTTGAATTTGGGACCAAAACCTCTCCTGCCATGTGGCATTTAAGGGGGATTAAAATGGATTTATTGACAGAATATTAGAAATTAATGGACTGAATTAAATTGTACGTGATCAGGCCTCAGTATGGAAAAAAGGGAGGGTAAATCAATCAAAAATCCTGATCCTTTTCAGGGCATAATTGTAAAGCCACAGACTTGAAAATGAAGAATCTGACTCTTTGCACAGCGTGGTTTTGTGGAAAGTGGGATTTTATCAATTTTCCTGCATTTTAGAGACACCAGGATGAGCAAAATCAGCATTTCCATGAGTACAGCACCAATGCTGAACACACCAACCCTGCTGACATTCCAAGGGAAGGGGAAAAAAATTCCCTAAAAATTCCCATTTCATCCCTTTCTCCCTTCTACAGAGCCCAGGAAAGTCTCCAGAACCTTTCAGGAAATGCTTTTAGGGAAGAAATTAAACAAAAAGTTTTCAAAAGGAAATAAAGCCTGAGAGCTGCCAGGGGCAGGCAGTAAAATATTTGTTGTTATTCCTTTTGCATCATAGGAATAAAGACAAATAATGATAAATGTTGGCAATATTTCCTAGAGTATTTTGAGGGCAAACACCCAAAGTGGTTGTTTTTGGTTGTCCACACCAAATAATTCATTTCCTTCCAGGTTTGCTCCTCTTCCTTTTGGTCATTTGAAACCCTGACAGGACTTTAGGAGCTGTAAAAGCACACAAAAACCAGCAGTAATGGGGAAAAAACAATAAAAAAATGGGTTATAAGGCTTTTTTCATTTTTTGATTAAGCATCATTTGGCTCCTAATTAAAGTGGCTGATGGAAAATTGTACAAAATGAGGATAAATGTGAAGGAGTTGAGATCAGTTCTTACCAAAACTCCATGGCTTTGGTGTATGACACGATGGCAGAGCCCAGGGCTCCTTGGGAAAATTCAGCATTTCCTTTCTGCTTCATGGATTCACTTTCCTGTGGGAGCAAGAAGAAACAATTTACCCACTAAACTCCTTTAATTCAGCAATGGAAAGGGAATTATTTCATGTGGTAAAGGGAACTATTTCATGTAGTAAAGGGAATTGTTTCATGTGGTAAAGGGAATTGTTTCATGTGGTAAAGGGAATTATTTATGCCAGAATTAAACCCTCAAGAGCTTTAGAAACATTTCTCTTTAATAACTGGGGGATTTTTACAATCCCTGATCATCAAAACCCCCCAGAAAAAACGACCCAAACACATCCTGAGAGCTTCTCTCACCTTCCTGGAGCTCTCACAGGTCACAGCTTTCAATTCTGCCACTAAATCACAATTTTCCAGCGCCACTTTGGTGATGCAACGTTTCCCTGGAGACAAAATTCAGGAAAGCACAAGAGGAGAGAGGAATTTCTCAGAGTTTCTCCTCTGCCACTAAAAAATCCTGCTCTGCTCCTGCCAGCCAGCAAAACCTGTCACACAACTGAAAAACTGCAACAATGGGAGCGGTGAAAATTCCGTTTTATCGGAGAATCTCAGAACAAAGAGAAGAACACAAATTATTTCACCATTTCTAAGAGTAAAGTGATTTTTTTTTTTTTTTAACTTTTCCCTCATTTCTGGACTCTTCTGGAGTGTCCATACTCACACTCAACAAAAAGAATTTGAAGTTTGACCCGGCCACCGTCCTCGAGCTGCTCCAGTCTCTGCAGGATGTTGGAATCCCCCACACACCTGACCCACTCCACAGCATCTTCAATGTGGAAGAAACCCTGTTCCAATTAGCAAAAAAACCCCCAGAAAATCAAGAGAAGGTCATTAATATACAATTAATAAAATAATTACTATACAAAGCAAACTGCTGGAGCTCTTAGCTTCTGCTTTAGCTGATTTTTTAAACAAGCAACAGCGAATAAATTCAAATTATCTGGGGAGCTCCAGCACAGCACGGTGACAAAATCAACCCAAACTTGGCAAGGGGGAGCATTCAAATGCTAGAATTTGATTTGGAAGCTTCTGAAATGATTGAAAAATAATTTTCATTGTTATTTCAGTAGTAACTATTATTTTGTAATATCTGATTTTTTATATAAATCATACTTGATTTAAAAACTTCCTTGTGGTGAGTGAAATGATTAAAAAATTTAACGTAAAGCCCCTAAAATTTGATGTGGAAACTTCCTTGTGGTGAGTGAAATGATTAAAAAAAAATAATATAAACCTCTTCAAATTTGATTTAGAAACTTCCTTGTGATGACTGAAATTATTAAAAAAATTAAAAATAACATAAACCCCCTAAAATTTGATTTAGAAACTTGTTATGGCTGTTGAAAAATAATAGAAAAGACAAATATCCCCACAAATAAAACAACTGGGGAATCCACAGTTGAGTATATTCTGGTCTTCCTATTGCTACAACAATGTTGGTTTTTAAATTCATTGCTTTGATTTCAGCTTTTGCATTTAACACAGAGCAGGCCCCAGGATTTTCTTCCAAGTGGAGGGAAAAAAGGGATTAAACACAGGAAAAAATCAGGATCTTCAGAGCCCAAAGTTTTCAAGCTGGAAAATACAATGAGTTCAGCTCTACCAGAAACTGGATTTTGTAAATAAAAAGATGGATCAGAAGATTTCCCCTGAGGAGCTCCAGGGAATCTTCCAAACAACTCCAGAAACTCACATTTTCTAGTCTAGTGGCGATCCTCAGGATGCCATTGATAAAATGTGGGATGTTCTGGAACAAGGAGAAAACACAAATGAAAAAAAGTCATTATTGAGATGAGATAATCTGAATTTCTGCCTGCTCAGGTTCAGCTCAGGAACATTTCCTGCTCTGAAACCACCCCAAAATCTGCTCCTCCAAATCCCCTTTTACTCTTGGATGTACAACCCAAAGAATGGAAAGAATAAATTTATAAAATAAAGCATGTAGCTTGGGGTTGAGAGAGGAATTTCAAGAAGTGAAATAAGAAGTGTTTTATTACCTAAATTTAAAATAAAACCCACAACAAATCCCTTCAGCTGCTGAGAATATTCCTCACATCCTCCTCTCCACTGTTCTGTTTCTGTTTTAAGTCAGCAACAGCAGCAAATTTAAAATAACATTTGTTGAATGAGGGGAAAAATGAAATTATTTAATTCATTCATCCATCAACTTTATTGCTGACTTCAAATAATCCCTGAATTATCCCAACTGGAATAAAGCCTAGGCCACAATTTCTTCTCTGGAAAGCTGCAACTCAATTATCAAATAATGTCTTCAGCAAAAGGGAATGTCTAATTTAGAATATCATCCCAAAACACTTAGGGGACACATGTAATTAACATATATTTGAAAATTCAGAGAAATTTAAAATCCAGGACTTACAACAACTTTTTTTATTAAATCAGCAAGGTCTTCCAAAATATCACACTCATGGATTGCCTCCATGTTCCAACCCAGGACCATTGAACTGTTGGAAAACAGAATAAATTGTAATTTAGACAAATCCCAAGGTGTTACAGGGTCTTCATTATGAACATTTAGAGGAATTAAATGTAAGGAAGAGAATGTTTAAAAATTCACACCAAGCCCTTCAGGGGAGGAAGGGAAAAAAAAAAAAAAAAAGAAGATAATTTTTTTTAAAAAATGAAAGAATGTTTCTAAAAAGTTAAATAAAAATATTTTAAAATAATTTTAAAATAATTAAATATAAAAATAATTTTTAAATAATTAAATATAATTAAATATAAATAAGTAAAAATAATTAAATAAAATAATTAAAAATAATTAAGTAAAAAAATTAAGTAAAATAATTAAGTAAAAAATAACTTAGTAAAAATAATTTTAAAATATTTTGCTGCTTTTGAAATGTCAGCATCTACATAAACACTGAAATTCCCCCCAAACTTCAGCTTCCCAAAGATTCCAAACTTCAGGAACTTAGTCTAAATATAAATATGTTTGTTTTTTCTGTCTTTTTTTCTTGTGGATTCAAGAACTTACAACCTCAACCAATTCCAACATTTTTGCACCACTTTGAGCCCTACTGGAAGCACCCAAGGAATTTTGACAGGGAACAAGGAAAAGTGGGAAGATTTGGAGGAAAACCCCTTGGAAAATGTGGATACTCACCGAAATTCATCTAGAAAGGAAATGCTTCGCCTGGTGAAGAGCACAGACCAAAACAACCTGATTTTGCTCACGTTGCAATATTCCTTTAATTTTTCCACAGGCTGACTGCACCAAACCTCACAGGGATCAACTCCTCCAAGGGGGAAAAGAAAAAAAACATAAATGGGAATTACAGGGCACGATTCAGGCATTCCAAAGTGCCAATAAACATTAAAATCTGGGATTTTTTCCAGCCTCTACTCCTGACAAATGAAAATAAGGGGATTTGAACACTCTGAACTCACCTGGCAGCTTGAGGGGGTTTTTAAATGGGAGGGGGAGAGGGGATTTAAGTGGAATTAAGGATAGGGAGCTGCTGGAAGGCTTTGCACTCCTGTGGTCTGAATGGATAAATTAAGATAAAAATGGATAAATGCAGCCTCCTCACTAGGCTGGACTCAAATGTTCTTTTCCAGGGAAAATTCAGCCTCTCCCACCTGTATCCCTGAATTATTCTGGACAATAAAAGCAAGGCAACAGGGCACAAAATCATCAGGGTTTGTTCTCAAAAGCCATCCTGGTTCAGGGCTCTCCAAGAGCATCCTGCACCTCCCAGGATCCACATGGAACAGGGAGGGATGGAGGGGAATTCAAAATTAATTTGGGTCATTGAGGTGGCTTCAAGTCCTCTGGAGGAAATGAAAAGGGAAATTCAGTTTATTGGGGTTGGCTTGAGGTACCCTGAGAGCAGGGCAGCATCACCTGGGGGTCTGAAAATACACAAAAATACACAAAAATAAATACATAAAAATACACAAAAATTCCCTTTCCACCCCTGTTCATCTCTTTGTTCCCACAAATTAGGGGGTTGTGTAGAAAATACAGTTTTGAATTTGAGCCACCTGCTTTTCTGCAACTGGGAATTTCTGCTTATTAATTACTGCATAGCCTTCCCTAAAAAAGTAATAATAATAATTAAAAAAATTTAAAAATTCAACATGAGATTGTCTTTAGACCACCAGCCTTGAATCTCCATGCTCCCAGCATTAATTGCTTGCATTTATGTAAATATTACTGAATATTTAAGTTATATTAGGAGAAGCAGATGACAATTGTTCCAGGGTAACAGAATATAACAATGCTTCTGCCCAGAAATAATAATGCACTAATTTTTCAGGCAAAAGAAGGAAAAATCAAATCAAATAGCAATGCCAAGATCCAAGAAATGGAAGGATATTGGTTTAGTTTCCCTACCTGCTTTATGATTATGCGGCACTGTCTGTCCAAAGGCTCCATGATTCTGAAGATAAACACATTATTTACATGTTATATATTTATATATTTACCATTTACTGTACTGCACAGCCAAAAAGCAAACACAGAAACCCAAGCCAGGAACAAAGAAATCATTTTGTTTTGAGATAATAAAGAATGTTTATCTGCATAGCCATTATAAAAATGTCCACAGGTTAAGGTGGTTAAGGTGGACAGGAAAAGCTTTATTCATAGAAACAATATTTTCAATCAGAATAAAAGAGGATTCTAGGAATTAATAATTCAAAAATCAGGCAGCAAAATTATGTTCAAGAGTACCTGACTAAATGTAAAGGTTTAAGAAGGCAATACAGTTTTAAAAAAAATATTCAAAAATAATAAGTACATTTTGACAGTGAATGTGTATTTAAATAAAAACCATCTGCAGCAAAGTAAGAGTTGATTTAGTATTTCATGTTACTTTTAAGGGGTTTAAACCCCATTTGAGTGCCTCAATCTGAAGAAGAAATTATTTATTCTGATTTATAGATCCCTACAAAGTCTGCTATTTTAACAAACATCATGAATGTGTGATTTAATAAATGCTCTGCATCACAGGAAACGCTGCATTATCATTTCACAGAATTGCAGAAATTATAAAATTCATGTATTTAACAGGCCAGGACACACAATAACCAGGAGGGGAAAAAAACATCATCTGAGATTTAAAATTAGCTTGTCTTGAAAGACAACTGATAACTCTTAAAGAGCTTTGTTCTGGGTGCAGCAAACACCCCCAAAAATCTCCACTGATATAAATAAATTCTGAATGGAATCACAGCTCTACTGGTACCAGTCCCTTGGAAAGGCTGAGCTTGAAAAAAGGAGAAATTCAATTTATCTGTGTTTTTAATTCCAGCCTGGGGAGGACAAAAGGCCACACTGATAAATTAGTAACTCCTGATGAGCTCTACAAGCAGCACAGATATGGAAATTAGGGATTTCTGAGATTCCTCAAGCACAGCAAGAAGGGGAAAAGAAACAGTGAAGTATTCCTGAAGTATGGAAGCAGAAAAGTGCTGCAGTTTATCCAGAAAAAGCACAGCAGTAACTGAGAGGGAAAATTCATCAGGAACTGGAGCCACAGGAGCCAGGGAATGGCTGCCAGGGGCAGAGGGCAGGGCTGGATCTTGGGCAGGAATTGTTCCCTGGCAGGGTGGGCAGGGGCTGGGATGGAATTGCCAGAGCAGCTGGGGCTGCCCCTGGATCCCTGGCAGTGCCCAAGGCCAGGCTGGACATTGGGAGCACCTGGGACAGTGGGAGGTGGCCCTGCCCATGGAACTGCATGAGCTCAAAGGTCCCTCCCAACCCAAACCACCCTGGGGTTCTGGGATTAAATAAGCAGAGCCTTCCTGGGCACAGAGAAACACATAAAATTGGAAGAGATTAGAACAACAAAGGGACAATGCTGCAGTCAGTGTGCACAGCTGAAACCACAGGATCCAAGAGCTGAAATCCCAGGATCCAAAAGCGGACTGCCCTGCAGTGACAGGGACTGAAGGTGTCAGGCTGAGCTGCAGCACCTCAGGAATGGCCACTGGATCAACAGGCTGGGCAAGTTCTGCTGACAGGAGCTGGCCCAGCTGCCCTCCTCAGCCAGCCCTGCTGACAGGAACCTGGGCTCTGCCCCAGTCTGGGCATTTTGGAATTATGGTCAGTGTGAGGCACCTGGACCCAGAGTTAATCATGCTGGAAATGACTCTGGAGATCTGATCAGAGAATCCCAGAATTACTTGGGTTGGAAGGGACCTTAAATATCCTCCTACTGCACCCCTGCCACAGGCAGGGACACCTTCCACTGTCCCAGGCTGCTCCAAATCCCATCCAAGCTGGCCTTGGACACTTCCAGGGATCCAGGGCAGCCACAGCTGTGCCCTCACACGCTCTGTGCCAGGGCCAGATCCGGGTAAAAACTTACCTGGAACATCCTGCAAAGTTTCCAATCCAGTTCCAACCCCACTTACCAGTGCAAAGACGTCTGGATCACCTCTAGAACGAGCCAAGGCTGCAAGGATGGATTTGAACAGAGGCTCATCCATGGCACATCCCCCTGGGAGAAAGGGAAGATGAGAAATACACCAGAGGAAGACAAGAGGCAAACAACAGGAGGTGGGCAACACTTGAAATGATCCCCCCGACAAACCCCACTTTGCTTGGGATTTGTGGAAGCTGAGTGTTTGTGAAAGGAGAATCAGTGCTGACAAAAGCCATCCAAAACCTGGCTAAAAGCTTGTGACAAAGTTATAAGTGAATATTATATTATATTATTGGCTTTTCACAAATATTATAAAGAATGTTGTATGGATAAGGTTAGAAAACTTTGTTGTATTAATACAGTTAATTTTATTTCTGTTATCGATGAAACTTAGAAATAGTGGTATAATACATACATATGTTAGGCTATAACATGATATTAAAACACAAATTACTTTTGTTTATATAACCCAGAGACTGAAAAGACAATCAGAGACCCCCCCTGCATTATTAAGATTATTTTGTCCTCCAAGCCCTCCAAGGGAAGGATTTATTGCACCCGGTATAGGAGGATATAAAACCCAGTGGTGCCAAGAAGATGGATCTGTTGGGAAGGGGGCAAGGTAAAAACAAAGGAACATCAAAAAACTTAAGAACAATGTCTGAATATGTATGAGAATTTATGGATATGTGGTGGGGTTCTGTTTTTAAGGGACAATCCTTTGTTAGTAAGGTGAATGCAGAGATACCCGGCCATATCTGTATATTTTATCTCCTAATTGCCTTTCTATTAAACTTTTAAATTCTATAAAAAAAAAAATACGTGAACCTTGTTTTTCACACCGACCAACTCTGTCCTGCAGCCCTACAAGTCCCGGGGCGCTGCCTCACCCCTGACAGGCAGCTGGGGCAGGTTCCCCCTGCCGGGTTAAGGAGCAGCACCCCGGGATCCTGAGTGCACCCCGGGATCCTGAGTGCATCCCGGGATCCTGAGTGCATCCCGGGATCACGGCAGCATCCCGGGATCCTGACTGCATCCCGGGATCACGGCAGCATCCCGGCATCCTGAGTGCATCCCGGGATCCTGAGTGCACCCCGGGATCCTGAGTGCACCCCGGGATCCTGAGTGCACCCCGGGATCCTGAGTGCACCCCGGCATCCTGAGTGCATCCCGGCATCCTGAGTGCACCCCGGGATCCTGAGTGCATCCCGGGATCCTGAGTGCATCCCGGCATCCTGACTGCATCCCGGCATCCTGACTGCATCCCGGCATCCTGACTGCATCCCGGCATCCTGAGTGCATCCCGGCATCCTGAGTGCACCCCGGGATCCTGAGTGCATCCCGGCATCCTGAGTGCACCCCGGGATCCTGAGTGCATCCCGGGATCACGGCAGCATCCCGAGATCACGGCAGCATCCCGGGATGCCGAACACCCCGCCCCGTCCCAGCACCTCCGGAGCTCCCCCCCGCCGCCATGCTGTCCCGGAAAGCCCCGGGCTCCC